GTATACATATAATATGGTATGTTAATCTGTAGAGCTAATCCGGAATCTAACTTTGGTAATTCTAAATCTTCCAATTAATTATTAATTGAAAGCTATTTAAACTTGAAAAAAAAATTTTCTTCAGAAATAATTTCAGCATTATAGAGAACTTAACCTTGTAAATTTCATAAAAAACTTTTGAAATCCTAATTATTTATTTTTCATATACATTTATAAAGCGAAATTTAAATATTGCCTCGAATCACCACAGAATGATTTAGAATTAGAATTAGTACTTATTCCGGATTAACTTGCCATCGATTATCAAATTTTAAAAGTCATAATAGTGGTGGGAAGAGGGGTTGATGATTAAATAAAATTTATTTAATTTTATAACCATAATGGACCTTATAATAGGGGTACGCGCGGCACGAAGCTTGACCCGCAAGCTGGACATGACAAAAAAGTATTTAGGCCGGGCTGGAAAATTAGTGTAAAATATTAAAATATTTTGCATATTTAACATTTCTATCTGTGTAATGGGTTCTGAAATCATGATAAGCAAGGTTATCACTTAGCTTCATGTCTATTCTTCCTCAAAATTTAGACACCAAGTCAACGTTTTGTTCAAATTGGAGAACATTCTCCGGCTTTCGGCTGTATCTGGTAATTTATCAAATTAAAAAGCTGTCATGAGATTAATGAAAATATTTTTCTTTTTTTTATCACGATAATATTTAACCCTTTGGAAGTCAGCAATATTTCAGGTATATCACATATGGTAACCATGAATTTTTCTAAATTGGGGGAGCAACTAAGTGTGAGCATAGAACAGTCTATAGTAATATTAAGGGTATGTCCAAACTCAAAAAAAATACAAAAAGCTTATGCATTTTCAGATTATATGTCACTAGGCAGATAAGATTAAAATGTGTAAACCTTTTATTATATTTTGAGTTTGAACATACCCTTAATCCCTTTAAATTTCATTGAGTAGTTTTGTTAAATAGCTCGATTTGAGTCGATTTTAAAAAAACGGCGAACTCAGTATTTTATAAAGAAAAATATTACGCGAGCTACTCATAACTGGCATAAAGGTTTGGACATCTATTATCGTAATCTCGAGAGACAGGCAATATTTTTATGGCCAAAATATTAAAAATCGACTAAAATCGAGCCATAACATTGGGATTGAGAATTTGTTTACACTAAAAAAAATTAAGCAAAAACTCATTTTCTATGATTTGATTTTTTATGGAAATGCATGATCCCTCCTCCTCTTGCTTAATGATATTGGGATGTAGTGAAAATGTTAATAACATTATATTATTAGAATTTTATGGATATTTAATGTTATAATACTTAATTAGATATTTTAATAAAACATAAAACCGCTTATGATTTATTGATGTTGTAAAAATGAGATGAAAAACATTATTATTGACATTAAATTTATTAATATATATCGCAATTTATTTCTCTCTGGAAATAAAACTAGTATAATAGGGATAGGAAAGGTCCCCTTCCCCCATTTCAATTTTTTTTGTGATAAAAAGTTGGGGAGAAAAATTAGTATGCCATTTATGTTTTGAATTTCGGGAATAAATTATTTTATTTATTTTAAAAACCCCAAAATTTTATTTTATCATAAATAATCTGATCAAATTAAATTTTATGAATTGGTCATGTTACAAATTACACGTTTTTAATTATTCCAAATTTAATAATTGTATATACCGAGAAAATTTATTGGCCTTCAGATTAGTCTTGAACTAAGGAGAGGTTATTTTATATAAAAACATCTTTTGTCACAACTAAGATTTAAGAAGTTTGAAAAAATATGGGTTTAGAAGAGACCGAGGAATATAAGGAACCCGTGGATATAGTGAGACCTGAATTTTTTCCCTCAAATTTTTTAACCAAAATGAATAAATTATACTATGTGCGTCTAAGCCATCTTTTTTTTATATAGGTATGTATCATGTAACTCCTTCTAATACATCATATTATTTATACCTGAAAATGTATCTTTCAGAATTTTACATTTTCCCCAAAATTTTATATTTTAATGTTTCTACCAAATTCGTATAAAAGAAAACATATTTATTTTTTTTATAAAATACCTCTTTTATTTCAGCCGAAAAGGAGTCAAAAATGTCTTAAAATTAGATTTTAACGATAGTGAGAAATTCTTACTTTTTTGATGTATTAACCATACCAATTTAAGATTTATTATGTGGCCTTCGAATTTGTTTCATATATCGTTTATAAATAGATAAATATTTATAAACGATTAAATTCTAGTTCCCGTACAGCCCCGTGCTTAAACACATATTTCCCCAATTATATCTTATCCGTTTTAATTTTATTAAAGTTAGCATTTTGGAGATCTCTAAACCCCGGTCTCCCCCTATTCAAAATTTTTTTTAATAGGCGTACGCTCTTTTATTTCATCGCTCCCCCAAAAGAAATCAATGATTTATAAATTGCCAACTTTTATCAATGAGACCCCAAAAAATATTTAATATTTGAAACAATTTCGTATTCTCTTTTTAAAAAAAACAATTTAGATTTTTTTATAAAAATATTATAGTACAATATTACTTATAATGCAATAAGGCTTATCGATTTTTTCATATTTTTTTTTAAGAATAGAATTGACCGATGATGAATTTAATGATATTATATTTTTTTAAATATATATTATATATATTCCAAGGTCATATTCGCTCTTAACTTAAAGCGATGATGATAATTCAAAGTGTTGCAAATTTAAGTTAGTCATAAATTTTATTCTTTAAAGTCATTAGCAATTGTATAAATATATTTATATATACTGTATATTCTGAAGTTTAAAAAGATATATTTATTATAATTAATGAAGGTCAATAAGGAAATCTTCACAATTTCTAAATAATATGGTAATCCTTAAATAGCCGATTAGTCACAAAAAAAATATATATGATTAGTAAATTTCGATATATCTAAAGTTTTAATGTTGAATCCCAGGGTAATTACAATATTTTTTCGCTTTAACGTTTCAAAATTTTGATCCTTTTAAAAAATTTAGCGCGCTATTCTGTATTTTATTTATATGAAATATTATAAAGATGATTCATAACTACCACAATTCTTCTAAATACATATAGTTAAACTCTTATAATCGTAAAATATTCTTTATTAACACTTTTAAACAGTGAAAATGAAAGAAAATTGGGCAATAATTTAGCTCTCTCCTATTTCTGGTTCTGCGGGTCCACTATATATTAAATATATTTTCTTCTATTTTAGAAATAGTATGCAATAATTTACTAATTTGTCTGTTTTTTTATATCATCAAACTTTAGAAATGTTTGAAAATGTTATGAGACCAATTTAACAATGAGACAACAGGTAAATATATATAAAATCGGCGTAATCAGAGGGAGGAGTTGAAAATTTTTATCTCTTTAGAGATTTGACAAGTTTTCATATATATTATTTAAAAGTAATTGAAAAATTCCCCCCCCCCTCCTACACTTTTATAGACAGAGCTTTCTGCACCCCCCTTTCCCATAATCAATAAAGCTGAACGCCCTCCCCCCAACCTTCGGTGAAAGAAATATAAAATAATTCTATTAAATGCTGCCTCGCTCCTAAGCTAACCCTCGACATTTCTGATGCAATTGCATATCTTATAGATTATTCTTTTGATTTTTACGTTTTTTTAAAATATTGTTAATATAAAAATAATTAAAATCTTTAACAATAGGTATGTAATTATGTATACTATTACGTAATAAGAGGGGGAATGGAATTTTATAAATGTTCTGCAATATATTTGCCAATATTAAAAATATATAATCCTAATTAATTTATATTATAATAAATATCTGTCCTAGTTTATTTATATACAATTAAAATAATAATATAATACAACGTTTATTTTACACAATTAATTTTAAAAAGTGTCTAAATTTAATAATTGAATATGATACAAATTTTCCCATCGAACTTTCTTTTTAAAAAATTGCCAGTTTCAGGATTATTTTACCATATATCTTAATATTATCCTTTAAGTATTATATGGCTACTTTCTAATGCACCAATATTTATTATTAGAGCTAACAAAAATATTTTATAATCATTGAATAAAAGAAAATATTGTGTAATTATTATTGGTATTTGATTCTTAACATTTTTACAGATTGTATCCTTCATTCCAAAATTTGAGTTATATTATATATACATTTCCAATTTTGACATTATGCACATCTAACATAATTTTTAATCGAAAATCAGAGTTTGAAATGCTCTTCATGGATTTTTTTAAGATTTCTCAGGCGAATTTTAGATAAAATTTCACCTAAAATTTCAAATCTTTTTTTGTAGAAAAAAACTTTTATAAGTTTTCAATTAAATTATCTTTGCTCAAATTTTGGGCTAAAATTCTAATGGTGTGTCGATCTTTTATCAGATACATTTGAAGAGTATCGATTAACAAATTACATAAATAGTTACTTTTTTCGGGATCACTATTGTTACACATATATCATTAAAACGACCCTCATTCAATAATAACTTTATTAAACAGAGATTCAAAATCAAAAGACCTCAAAAAAATTGATGAAAATTAGACCTAAATAATATTTTTTTAAATTCACATATTAGATGCAAATGTTTTATTACTATTCGGACTGCTAAATATATTTTTCAAAATCAATAATTATATACAATTTAAGCGTTTTAATATTTTATCCTGTGTAATAAATGTTTTTCAGTTCATTCCTCCCACATTATTCGCATAAATTCCTTAAATTTAAATATATAATTCGTATGAAAGACTATATTTGTAAATCTTTTATATATACATATCATAAACATAATAAATACATCCTTAATAGTTTGTACATATTACACTGATACTGCCATACTACTTATAATAGTCTTACTAACAATATCTTTCCAAATCATTCTGTAATACATCAAGAAAATCTATTTATCAATATCAAAAATTAAAAAACACATATTTGATATTTTAGTTGGTAGTGGTCAGGCCGCTCTAATAATCACTCCCAATATAACCCAAATCAGAAAACAAGGCGACAATTTTTACCTGGAATGCACTGTAACAGGGGGAGACGGCGTGGGATTTTATTGGACCTACCCGAATGGAACTATCATACCTTATCAAGGAACGAGGTAAAATTCCTTTTTTAAATCTTTAGTCTTTTATAAATGTTATTTCCTTTGAAAATATATCGACTTATTTTATTTTTTTATTACCTTTGGCATATAAGGTATATTGTTACCTAATTTTTTTTATTTGTTTTTGCACACCTTTACACCTGCATTCAAATACTAATAACGCATATTTTTTTTTACAAGTGATTCATTCATTATCAAATCAATATACATAAAAATAAAATTTTAATAAGAAATATTTTTATAGTTTTTTATTTTCGGATAATTTTTCAAACGAAATTTATTTTATTTTTAAAAAAAAAATATTTTTTTTATGATTCACGCTTAATTGAGTAGCCTTCTTGATTTTCTCACTTCTTTCTCATTTCCTAGTCGTTGTTTAAAATTTTATTATATATTTTTTTTAAAACGAAAATTATGAAATTTAATTTTTTTTTAATTTTGTGATTTGTAATTGTAATAATAAAAAAAAGGTTAAGCGTAAATTTATCATATCGGAAGAAAGGTTTTTTTTAAAAAAAAAAATGTTATAATGTAAGATTAAAATTAGATTGGTTGGGGATAAAAATTTTCTTGTTTTATATTATTTAATTTAGAGGATGCATTACGTATATTTTTCTTATAGGATCGAGATGTAAAAAAAATAGTTATTTACCTTAACGATAATGTGCGAAAAAAAATATTTGAAATGTTATGTAAGTGTACGCTCTGTGAAGGCCAATTCCGGTCCTATCCATTTTAGATCAAGGTTTTTGAAAAATCATGATTTTTTTTGATTAATTTTCTTTCGTTCTTAATTTTTTGAATCAAATTTTAAAATAAAATATTCTTTTATGAATAAATCCTTTAGCAATATCGAATCGACTAAAAGGTGTTATGCGAGTAACCATTGGGGAGGAGGAGAGGGCAATGCCCTTACTACAGATCTAAAAAATGCTAAATTTTTTTTATAAATAACCTTGGTCAATCCCTAATGTTGGAGTTAGAGGAGCTTAATAAGTTCCTTTAGTGAAATGACAAAATGGCCCAAAAAATTGTCTTCAGAAGAAAAGAAACCAGCAAATAATTTAATTTTACCAGTATTTTATGCAATCTCTTTCAAATAAAAACGATTTAGTTAGCACCATAAAAATGTCAGAAAATATTTTAAACTTATTTTTCAAATTTTGATGAAGAATTTCATAAATTACGCTATTTTTCAGTTTAAAGAGTGAATTCAATGAATAGCTTTATGAATTTGATATTCACATACCTCAACTAACACCAAGACAAATCCATCGTTCAAATATTATTATGCAATAGAATAATGTTATAAAAAAAATCTCTCTATACATTTATTATAAATTGATCCATTTTTAAATAATAAATTCAAACTCTGATTTTTTTTCTATATCTGCTCAATATTACAATTATAATGATAACATTTGGAGAATTAATATAGTAGTAAATGAGGTATAATAAATTGATTTGTATGAAAAACGAATAAATTATTAAAAATACAAATAAAAAAAAGAATTAATTTAAATTGTGATTTTTATTCTAAATATTTATTGATTTAAATATTCCAACCTTATCTTGGTTGACCCATAATCTTTAGGCCCCCTAGATCAAAGAAATTTTTATCTTACTGAATTCTACATTTTTTAAGGATTACTATCCAGTGCTCCCATTATTTTTTAGGGATATGACTAGTATGATATATTCATAAGATTATTTTAGTTTCAAAATTTAGATTTATCATAAATCCAACATATTGGCATACATTTATCAAATTTAAATAAAACTATTAGGTTTATCAGTCAATCGGATCAATGTTTAGGACACAACTGTTCCATTTTGTTATTTAACGATATCAGGAAAGAAGATGAAGGAATATACACCTGCGTGGCGAATGTGAAGCAATACGTGGAAAAGAAAGGAATTCTCCTTAGGATATACGGTTTAGCAATTTTATAATTAGAAACATCTTCAAATGGAAAATTATCCAAATTTATGGAACTTTTAGTAGTCAAATTAAAATTAGAAAAGCATTGTCTTTATGAAGACTATTTTTTTAATTATTATTTCTTTAATTGTTTTTTAATCAAAAATGCTTAATACCTCACCTCATAATGGGCTCATTTAAAAATTATTTGTGGCAACTTAATTCGTTTTATACTATAAACATTCTTCTAAAATTTTAAACTTAGAACCCATAAAGTTTACGCATGCTCCTAAAATTCAAAATTATACCCTTGGGCAAAATGCTTTAATTCACTGTGTGGCTACTAGTATGACCAACTTAAGCGTCGATTGGAAGAAAAATGCGAAGATTATTACCAAAAGTAAGATTATTATATATTTTTTTCAAATGAAAAACTTAAATTAATCTTTCTAACGGGTTATCCATCAGTGAGGCTATTGGCGCTACTCAGTTGTGGATATTTCTAATAATTGACAGCTAAGATATTGAAAGATAGACCTTGATTATATGTTCTATTAATTAAACGGTTTAATCAAAATTATAATATGCCTTAATTTTTTTATTATAAACTTATTAAAGGTGGAAAATATCAACCAACGAAGGATGGACTCTGGGTAAATAATTTTGATAAGCAAGACAACGGAACTTTTACATGCAGAGCTAAAGAATATGGATTATTTTATGCCACTGCTTCCATTGATATCGATGTCAACGTTTGGTGTGAGTTAATATATGCTATAATTTTTAAAGAATCAGAACTACCTAGGATCATAGCGTAATTTTTTCTTAAAATTTCAATGCTACCACAATTAGTTCTACTAAATAACAAAACTCAATATGAAAATTTGTAAAAAAAAATCTTTTAATTAATGACTGATTATAACAAAAAATGCAAAATTTAAGGACTTTTTTTATTTAAAAACAAGATGTGTTCAAAAAAACACATATAATAATCTTATCCGAATTGGATCAAATTTTTAAGTGTTTATCATATTATATTTTAGGTAGTGCTCCTATCGAATAACCATTTTACACTATCAAATATGATCTATTTTAATAAAAGTACAATTATGAAGATAGATAAAAATAAACACTTTTATTGACTATTTAAATAATGGGAATAAAACGATTAGTACTTATAAAAATCTGTAAACCAATGTCCAAAAAAATTTTGAAGCTAAAGTTAACGAAATTGGGGGGGGGGCGGAATGGAGGAGGGCAAATTCGAAAAAAATAGCTTATACATAAATCTACAATATTTAAATATTTTACAATAGTCGGCAAGACGATCTCTGTTTTTTCTTATGGCAAAGGCCTATCAATTTGCAATTGCCAAAATAATTGCAACAATAGAAGATATCCGTGTTGCAGAAATGGATATAATTGTTCCATATAATGACACATAAATATTATTTGTGTAAATAATAAATAATTTTGCAAAATTTTATTTGAATTTTACATCACATCGATTATGAATTCAAATTGAAAAAAAAGTGGAATAGGGATGGGATGGTTTTTTGTAAGGAAATGTGATAACCTAGAACAGCGATTACGAGAATTTATCATATCATTATAGTTAACAATGCGAAGACTTATTAAAAATATAAATCGATGGCTTTTATTACCCCATAAATTTTAAGATTAAATACCTTAAAAATCTATTTGATGAAATTGCAGGCAAATGTTTTAACTAATAAAAGTTTTGAAAAAACAATCCCGACCCATTATGGTTTAGAGTGATGATTAATATTGCATTCAAAATATGTTTTAATCAAATAATATGTCATGAATCAAAAAAATCCTAACCAGAACCATTCACTAAGGTTATGATTTACATTGCAATCAAAATATTTTTTAATATGCTTTTATTTGATGCCCTTATCATATTATCATATTTTTATGCTATTAAAAGTTTAAAAAATTCCACCTATATCCGTCTACTTAGAGCGATAGAATATTGCAGTCAACATATTTTTTAAGTTATAAATTTTTAAAAAATTCTTGACCTCTCAAGGATCCACTCACTTAGAATGATAATCAGACCCGATTCTAGTTTTATCCATTTGGAGGGGGCAGACAAAAAGGGAGGGGGGCGGTTATAAAAAAATTTCAACTTTATAGAATGAATATTTAAGTTATTTGAACACAAAATTGAAATATACGAGTTTATTTGAAAAATATACAATGATCAAATATAAAATTAGATGGAAGAGAAATGAGTTGATTTAATGATTTTACAAATATTATATAATAACGTTGATATAGTTTAATTGTGCTTGTATAATGCTTATTAGGATTCAATTATAAAATATATATAACTATATTACAGTCAATGATTGAGTGTAAAACTAACAAAAATAAAGCATTGACAATATAATTTTGGTTTGAGATGTATTTTTAAATACCTTGAAAACATTTCCAAAGTTAATCGATTATGTTTTTTCCATGTCAATAAAACCAAGTTACCCTTTCCTATATCACTACTCGAACGATTATCTGATTTAATAATTTTCTTTAATGGCGAAAAGTTGACTCCAACTCGATATGGGATCTAAACTGATACATAATATTCAAAAAACATTTAGGAATGCATTTTTTTATGGGTGCAGAAATTTAACACAATCTTTATAATTTTCTAAACTTTTAGCAAATAAATTTTTAATCTCAATTACTAATCCCTTTTCAGTAATATTGGTTGCCAATAAAGGTTTAATTTTTTTATGCCTGGAAAATTAAAATGGCTATCTTGATTTAAATTTGCTAATTAGTTTATACAAAAAAATTGGAAAAATCCTTTTATGAATTATGTAATTTCTCAAGGCATACAAACTTCCTTCCAGTTGGTAAAACCAGTTTGGTATAGATTTGATCCACCATTCCTTAAGTTATAGATCTGACAAGGAAGGGAAAAAATTGCATTAGTTTCAATTAAATATTCACCTTATACGTATTTATAAAACTGAAAATCTTCCATTATTTAACAGTCTTTTATCAATATTGTTGCCAAAAAGCCCTATTTGGGTCGATTTTTTAAAAACGATTCGATTAAAGTTTTAGCCAAAATTTAGAATCAGCCACTAAGAGGAAGAGGTTGATTATATAGATCTTTTGATTAGCTGTCAATTAATACCTATATTGGACATTCCACTTTCATAATGCCAAGAAAATGTAACTTTGTAAATATAAAAATAATAATAAACTTTATTATAAATAAAGCTAAACGGGCTTAAACACATAAGTGTCCGCAATATCATGGTTAAAATGTGATAATACCGCATTCCTTATTCTTTAAAAAATTTAATTCTGAATAAGATTCCTTTAAAATTCATGACGATCCCAGTTCTGTTTTGATTATATAAAAAATTATGACATATTTAATAGCATTTTTTAAATCAATGTCAGAATTTAATGCTCTATTTAAAAAAAAAAATTCTTAGCACAATTTAAGACAATGGCTTCCTCAACTTATTTTTAGTTACGATTGCTCAAATACATTTTTTTAATGACATATTTATAGGATAGGCTAATTTATATACATCTTATTATTTTGGCAAAAAGGTTATTTTCCAATTTATTATTAATTGATATTATATTTAAACATCCTATATAGACCCCACGGCTATAATCGATAAACCGGATCCTAACATACGAGCCCTAATAGGTGAACAGGTAAATTTAACGTGTCGAACAGAGGGAAATCCCATTTCCACGATTTCATGGTACAATAACAATTTTCTAGTTAGAAATGTTACAAATGACATAACCGTACTTAATGACCGCAATGGAACCAGCGTCTTATTGGTTATTATTAATTTGATTAAATTATATTGTTGGATGTCATTTACATTATCCATCCATGGATATAGGAAAAAATCCACAAATTGTTTTAATAAAATATTAGCTTATTTATTTTTGTGTCCATTGCCTTAGAAATATATTTAAGTTCCTTAAGTCTTTTTTCCCCATTTTTAAATGAAAATAGAATAGTTAAAATTTTAATAAAATTATTCACTGTAGCTGCCCCTATAAATACTTAATTATTTTGATTTTAAAAATAAATAATTATCATAAAATATGTACTAAAAATTGCACATTTTTTTAGCAAGGCTGATTACTATAAAAATCGTCACAATTTAATGTGCAGGGGTTAATCTTCTTCCTGTTTGCTCTGACTAATATTTGTTCAGTTAGTGACCTCACGGATTAATCTTGACAGTTAATGATTTCTTTTAAGATTTTTCCAGATAAGCTAGTTTCCTCTCGACTGAGTATAGTCGCTTGTCATTCTCTACCTCCTTAATCAAGGCTGCCTTATGTGTTTCCCAATGGAAGCGTTTATCCTTTGTATTTTCCTCTAATAATGTATTTTAAGTAGGATTGTGCAAATTGGTAGAAACTTTTTTTTTCACCTTTTATAATATTTAAGAAACGTAAAATAGTATTATAAATTTTAATTTTCACATATTGTCTTTAATTTAAATAATGATGTGCTATGTCTTTTTTAAAAAATAATAAACTACGCAAAACGTAATTTAGAATCACTATTATATTTTCTTCGACCCTCATAATAATAATGATGCATGTGTTAATCATAGTAATATACTTACTCAAAACCCTAAGAATTAATTTACAAGATATTTGAATAAACTTCTATAACATCTTAGTTTATATTATATATACATTAGAAAAATAACTCCTAATAGAAATTAATATAAATCACTTTAGGGTATCACATTTTCCCTAAATTTTAACCTCTACTCCAATTACTCATTTTATAATTATATAATAAATACGTATATATTTTTTAGATTAATCTGAGAAAAGTAAATGATTTTGGTCGTTATATATGCAGAGCTTATAATTCTATCAAGGGGCCAGTAGAATTTGTCTATGACGTCAAAGAAGCTGGTATGTTATCGTAAATGTTAAATATTCTAATTCTCTTTTTTCTATTGATACTTTAAAAGCATCCGGTTAATATTATAACGTTATATTCTGTGGTAAAATACAGAGTTATCAATCTAAACTAAAAACTGTTTTGATTCCTGTTCTAATTTTTTAAAAAGGTGGTTCTAGTTGTAGCTATTTTTAAAAAATATTATCCTCCACATAAGATTTAGCGCTGTTCCAGGCAGATGTTTCTAATAAGTCAGTTTTAGCCCGTTAACACTAGTGTTGTTAAACGGCTCGATGTAAGCCGAATTTTAAAAACGGCTAATCAATATTTTAGCCAGAAAAATATTGTGTAAGCCTCGATTCGTTAGTAGATGTTCAAACCTTGTGCCACCTATGAATAAAATCTCAAAGCATAATATTTTCTTAATAAAATATTGAGTTAGCCTTTTTAAAAAATTGGCTCAAAATGAGCCGTTTAACAACACTAGTCAACACATGGAAAAAAAATATTCTACCCATTCATTTAAAAATTTTGTTTAACCTCCCCTCCCCTTTGATGTTTAAAAATTATTTAATTGATTGGTTTGGTTCCAATACATTTTTTTTAAATATAAACTTATAAACCATGTAATATTATAAGATAAACAAAATAATTCCATTCCTCCAAATTATTCAATTTCACCCGCCAATTCATCCATTGTGTCAAAAATATTTTTAACCCACCTACGGCAGCTCTATATTCCCAGGTTTTTGTTCCAAATTCGGTTGAGAGGCAATGAAAAAATTAAATCCTTTTATGTGAATTTTTGAAAAATAAAAATAAATTAGGTGCACCTTTGTTAGTATAACTCTTCTTGGATATTCTAAAATGTTTTCGCTCCCTTCTAAAAAATTTTAAAAGAGATCTGTTATTCTCCTTTCTTGTTTGTAGTTGCAAGAGTATCAGTACCCTGACCATATATGCCATTAGTTGGCTCATCGCAATTTCTTATCGTTAATAGACCATATGGCATATTGTTTTTAATATTACATTATAGCTAAACAGATTCCCAAGGCCTGGCTTTTTAATCCTGGCCTAAAATTACTTATGTAAAAATCGAGAAAAGTGTTCAGGAGTCAAGATTTTTAATTGCCATTATGGTGAGCTTACAATGACCTTAATACTTCCTCTTTCGAACCTTCATAGCCCAAAATAATTAAAATTATGCTTCAATTTATTTTAATTTACTAAAGACATACCTAACGAAGTTCAAGAGATAGAAATTATAGCAGTTAAAGCCAATTCTGTGGAAATACGTATAATGCCCCCCGCTTATGATGGAGGGTCAGAAGTTTTATATTACATGCTTCAATATAAATCTCAAGAACTTGGGTGGGATAATAGTTCTATTCTCAAAATTCCGGCAGGTTTATTTACCTATAAATTTTCATATTCGAAATATTAAATTGAATTTAAGATTATTATATAAAAAATAGTAAAGTATTAATTATATATCTACTGGAATATACAAGAATAAATAATAGTTCTAAATTTTTTTATATATAAGGATTTCTAAATATATTTTTAAATTCTTTCCTTCGATGAAAATCTAAATTGACATTCTTTTTTTTATTTTATTATAAAATTTCATCTAATTTAAAATAAGAAACTAAGGGGTTCGAAATTATTTTTTTAGTATGTCTAATTCTTACATTTTTTTCACTCCACTTGACGCAAAATTATTTGTATAAATGTTTATTAATTATTATCGTAACTGGGTATGAAATTTATAAGAATTCGGAATCTCACAATCTTGATTTTTTACCGAGACATTTAAACAGAAAAATTTGATTTGACTGGAAAACAATTCTATTTCAACGTACTGTGAATCCCAGAGTTTAACATTTCACAAAAATAAAAAATCTCCAAAAATTTTTATCTCGTAAGTAAGATTTTTAAGAAGAAAATTTTTATTTTGAAAATGCTAACATAATTTTTTTTTTTGATCTTTAAATTTTTTTTTATATTTTGTTGATCTTCAAAAGAATTTGCTCTTTGGGCAAAGTAATATCTTGAAATTCTTATTTGAAACTTGATTTTTACTTATATAGATTTATTGTAAAAATACACAATCCTAGATAGGAAAATTGTCTGAAATTCCTAGGGTGAGCAATGCAAAAGCTGTCTTCACGTGCTGGAAGGACCTTCTGAATTTAAAAATTGCTCTCATTATAAATGATTTAAAATTGTGAGATTCTAAATCCCTGTATATTTCATATCCCGTCGTTTACAACATAATATAATTTTTATTTCCATTCTAGAGGAATATCATTTTAAAAAATCATAACGTAAAGACATTATATTACTAATAAAGATTCACTTAGATATACAATCACGGGTTTAAAGCCTACCACTAAATATGACATGGAAATAGTGCCAGTTAATGCGAAAGGTAAAGGGATGCCTTTTGTTGCAAACTTCTCTACGAATGACGATACCTCTCCAAGTTCCGCTATAAATTTAATGACGCGTTTCAGCTCTATTCAACTTTTGTTTTACATCCTTTTACCTTTACTATTTAAAATAATTTTTCATTGATTCATCTTGACATAACGTACTCCCCTCTTTTGTTGAAACAATAGCATTAAATTTATCAAATCAATCCAGAGTAAAACATTATTATTAAAAATATATAAAATGGCGGCGAATATCTAATTATTTTCGATGACATTTGTAAATATATTATATTTTTTTAAAAAATGATTACATTTTTATTTTACTTCTTAAATTATTGAAAATTTTGATTTCGAACCTATAATATACAACAATTAATCTATTCAAACAACAAAAAAACCAAATGTCTGCACCCTAACCGCGGAAAAAATTTCTATCATTCATTCAATCACTTTTCATTTTTTAAAAAAATAAGAATATTAATTCACTATAATATTATATAAAATTTAATGAATTTATTTCTCGCATAATAATGGGCTAATTTAATATTATTATACTTTTCCACTCCCTACAAACAAATCTTTCTTTAAATGCAAAACGGCGATTCGCGCCGCATTATTAATTAGAATTATTTTTAGAGCGACCCACTTTAATCATATTTATCTACAATCCAAATTTTTTTCTGCTATAATTATTCTATGATTATTTTATTTTTTATCATGATAAAGAAATGGGAATTTTTTAAGTTACATAATATTATTATCTTAAAGAGTAAAAGAAAGTTGTACATATTCATATTATTTTTTTTAAAGAAAAGAATTATTTATATATTTTTTTTAAAAGAAAAGAATTATTTATACTTTTTTTAAAAAACATCCTCATTTTCTTTTGTAATTATGTTTTTAAATCATGTTTCTTTTTGTTTTTTTTTAAATATACATATATACATAGTGATTTAGAAGAGCTAGAATAATTATGCTATCAAAAATAAATATTGTGTAAAATCAAAGGTTGGATGTTATAAAATCAAGAAATTTTTAAAAATGTCGAATTTGGGAATTTGATAAGTAACGTTAGTTGCACCTATGTCAGTAGAGTAGGGTAAAAGTTGGACTCAACACTTTTATAATAACTTTATCTGGTTTAAAATATTCTACATTTGAACAAATGGGGGATGCGTAACTATTCTAATAACTTCTATTGATTAGTTGAAAGCCAGCCTCCTGCGAAGTTTTATAGACCTTATATAATATCAATTACACTTTGAGTCAAATTTGGGTGTTCTGTAGCCAAGCTTAGTCTCTTTACCTTTTTGAGTTTGGTTTCTTTTACAAAGGTCAATGGAGTAGTAAAATATCATTCATAAAAATATTATAACAAATTAATTCATTCATATATGAAAAATACACCTAAATTATACTATTCCGTTTCTTCTAATTTCTTTCTTTTATCATGACCCAACCAAAATAAAATTTTAGGCAAACTATTTTCTTTCTTTTCCATTTCTATCTCTCAGCCAAAAACTTTCTTATCTCACTTAATTATCTCTCAGAGAGATAAACGAACATCCTATATATATCACAATTTTCTATCGATTAAGTAATTCTGCAAATTACCAAATCACCCATACATAGGCGTAGCCGGAATAGAAGGGGGGGAGGGAACAAATTTATCACTTTTTGTGAATATCATTTTAAGCTAATAAAAAGTATCCCTTTCTCCTCCCACTCCCTGACCCCCAAAAATGTGTGTTTATATATTAAACAATATTTGAAAGAAAGAATGTAATGATATTTTTTTACAAAACTATTCATCATAATTTATGCATTTTTGGAAAAAAGCATTTATATATAAAAAAAGTGAACCAAAAAGGTTTTTTAAGAATTGGAATATAAGCCAATGATAAATCTTAAGACAAAAGTGAAATATATTATAATTATTAATAATAAATATAAAATTAGAAAATAATATATCAAATATAATTTTTTATAAAGTGAGTAATTTTAAATTATTTATCTTAATAAAAGTAAAATATAATTATAAAGCTATTGATAAAATTAAATAAAAAATTAAAGCACAATACAAACATGGAATATTATATGTCATAGATTTACAGTATATCTAATTTTATCAATTACATATGACAATCAAGTAATTTTTACCAATATAGCGAATTATATATTTTACAGAAAACTATAAACAGGCTTGTTAATCGATCCTTATAAGAAGATCGAATCACCATATTTTGAAAAAAAAGATGATCGAAATCCAGGATCCACCTTTTTTAAAAAAAGGATCGCGATCACGGTTCTTTTCTTATTTAAATTTCTGATCGATGCAAAATTAACTAATATAAAAATTAATTAAATATGGTATAAATTTATTGTAATTGAATAATATAATATAAGTATAACAATTAAACTATATTTATTTATAATTAAAATTAGCCTTTAATAATAAAATTTTTTCTAAATTATCATCAACCACTTTTTCATTAAGTACATGTTTAGCTTTACTAAACAAGCGCTCCACAGGAGCGCTTGATGGTAAATGTGTGTTATGTTCAATAAATGTTTTTTTTATTTAAGATAATTATTAAAAATATTAACTGAATCAATATTAGAATAAAAAAAATATTAATGGAAAGAGCATTTTGTGATGAATTTTTTCCAAAAAAGGTATCGATTTCATCCATGCATTCATTTGAAAGATCTGCATGGGGTTGACCCTTATTTTCTAAATGGGCAAATAACCTTTCTTTTAGCAAAAGATTTTGTGGCAGATTAATAAAAGGCCAATTGAGCTTAAATTTCGGGTGAATTATTGATGCCAATATATTACTGTCATCATATAGTGAAGGAAATCTATATTAATAAATGATATTTAATTTATAAGTGTTCATTTATATAAATCAGGTATCTGAAAAAGTTAGCCTTTTCAAATTTTACAGTCAGGCCTGACCAACCACATGAATAATATTGATTAAATTTAATAATTTTTAATGCCTATAATGGCCCATTAAAATTTTGCCATATATCAAGCTTTGTAGACCAGGCCTGTTAAAAATGTTTTAGTGAATTTGTCAGATCATGGCAATTTTTAAATAAATTTTGTAGATATCTGATAGCTATTAATATAAAAAAATTGCATAAAAATTTATTACCTTTTATCAATACCTCAAGATCACACTCTACAAGGGGCTGACAATATCGCAGGCAGCTAAATTTCTTTAATTTATCTATAATGTGGTTAAAACTGGGGTGATATCCCTGCATCATGTTCTAACTGCTAATCTTTGAAGAAGATATTTTGTTTTTGCATAAATAGTATTTTGCATAGATCATTGCATGGTTACTTCCATCCGTTTCACATAAAGTAAAATACTTACGTAAATTATGAAATGATAAATAAATTCTAGTAGATGATACATCTAATTGACGTGAATGCAGATATAAGTGAGAATATAATTAATAAATAAATATAACTTGTAGGCTCTAAATCTCGTACAAAAAATTTGGGAAATTATTGAAATATAAAATCTGGATTTCCGTGCCTTACTCAATCTCAAATTCTAGCAATGCCCAACATGCAGTCTGCTAATACCATATCAAGTTTCACAAAATAAAATTTCTATAATCAATTTTTTTTACGCAATATGTTTACTCAGTCTCAGTTCTTTGTCACAAACTCTCAACCAACTTTAACTAGTATCATAATTATTATCTTTTTATATTCATTACTTTTAGGTAATATATATGCTCAATCTCAACACCTAACATGCAACCTCTTAATGCCATATCAAGTTTAACAAGTTAAATTTTATAATCATTTAATTAATAGGCATTATATTACCTCATAGGAATGACTCTAAAAAAACAAATTCCAAATATATCCTAAAAGAAAGAAATTTGGAAAAGCTGACTACACAATATAATAATCATATTATTAATAAATTGGAGTTTGCTGATAAATCATCAGCTTATATTAAATTAGTAATTCAAATGTATTTGATAATATTTAATTTATATTTGTTTTATACATGTTGAATAATTTATATTTATTTTAATCATGTTTCTTTGTTTTATACATTTTAAATAATAAATATTTGTCTTATACATTATAAATAATAAATATTTGTCTTATACATTATAAATAATAAATATTTGTCTTATACATGCTAAATAAATATTAGTTGTTTATATTTTTGTATTCGATTTATACATTTGAAATAATTAACATATGTCATATACATTATAAATTTGAATAATAAAATAAGCTTCTTAATTTGCTGTAAAAATTGTATCCTAGGTTGTTCTTTTGATATTGTGTAAGAGCTAAGATAAATTTTTACCATTTGAAACCTGCTAAATATTCTATATTTGAATAATAATATATATTAAATTTTACCATTTTAAACCTATTAATCTTCTTAATTTGCTGTAGAAATTATATCCTAGGTTGTTCTTTTGATATTGTGTAAGAGCTAAGATAAAAAGATAAATTTTTGCCATTTGAAACCTGCTAAATATTCTATATTTGAATAATAATATATATTAAATTTTACCATTTTAAACCTATTAATCTTCTTAATTTGCTGTAGAAATTATATCCTAGGTTGTTATTTTGATATTGTGTAAGAGCTAAGATAAAAAGATAAATTTTTGCCATTTGAAACCTGCTAAATATTCTATATTTGAATAATAATATATATTAAATTTTACCATTTTAAACCTATTAATCTTCTTAATTTGCTGTAGAAATTATATCCTAGGTTTTTCTTTTGATATTGTGTAATAGCTAAGATAAATTTTTACCATTTGAAACCTGCTAAATATTCTATATTTGAATAATATATAATAAATTTTACCATTCCAAAAGAATTATTAATATTTAACGTAAGATTATGGTAAAAATTTAATTTTTACCATTTCAAACCTATTAATCTCCATTTTGAACGAATTGGACGAGTTGGACGAAAAATACGATGAAGTGTCTTACGATCAAAGGCACCCCTACCAAAATCTGGTGGAATGGTTGTTGATAAAATATGATGTAGATAGATATTTTTTTTAAAATAATATTTTAATTTAATTTTCAAAATTTATATTTTATTTATTGCTTTTAAGTAAAAAAATAATTTTTAAAAGGATAGATCGAATATTTAAAAAAATGAACTCGATCACTCACGATCCACAATTTAAGATCAGGATCTTAAATCCGAGAATATTGACAAATTTAGGATCGAATCAGGATCGGCGATCTTTTGATTCTATCCTTTAACAGCTCTGATTATAAAATATATTTAAAAGACATTGTGGGATGAATAATATGAAGATTAATTTTTAATATCATTTTTTATTTAAAATTAATAGATGACGTTAAATAACTGAAAGCAAATTGTTGCAATATTTATTACCAAGAGCATTGATTAGTAAAATTTGTTAAAATATTAACTGAAATATATTCTCTAACTGTTAAATATGTCTGTAAAAGTGGAATTTTACCTAGTATTTTGTAATGAATTCTATATAATTTAGGAATATCAACTATATGTCTACTTACTTTTTATAAATAAATTTCTAATACTTGTTTGGAATAAATTATTACCATGCTTTTATATTAATGTATATACAAATAATTTATTATATTTTATATAAACTAATAAAAATTTATTTCATATTTGTTCCAGGCTTATTTTTTATTAAAACCATATATTTTTTGTCAATAACATTATATAACAACTTGCTAGATACCGAATTTTTCCCTATGGTTTTAATGAAATTAAGGGCCTCACTTCCAATTATGCCTAAGCTATTGGTAACCATTGGTATGAAATGAACACATTTTTGGTGCACATTTATTCTTTTAAGGACTTCTGCCTTTCAATGGCAAAAAATGAAAGGTTTGATTTTGCTGCAAACTACGACACATGTGTAGTCTCAGACCAGTAGAAGACCCTTAGTCCAAGGAATAAGGGATATAATATCAGGGCGTATGATTATTTTATATTTTTAAGAATATCTTCAAAAGTCTCCTGATGTGTCGAAGTGATTATATGTTTATAAATAAATATATATGCAAAATGATACTATTTAATATAAAATTTAAAAACCAAATAATCTATACCAACTAAAATAAGATTTTATCAGAGATATACATTAGTATTTTCATGATCCACACTTGTAAGATCAAACACAACACACCAAAATAAATTCAACCGATTAAAGAATAATAAACGAATTTTCTTTTTCCAACTTAAAATCAAAATTCTGCATAATATTAAAAAATAAATTAAAAAATAATTTAAAAAATAAATAAAATATGACTTCATTAAAAAAATATTATTCGCAGTATGCACCTGCGACACACCCACCCTTCATATACCCAGTGATCTCCCCTAAGAAGTTGAAATCTATCGATCTTCCGACTCGTCCATTATCGTAATTTCGGTGGTCATTTCCTTTATTATTTATTGAATCGTACCTTTAAATTGTATCAATTTTTAACCTGTTTTATCGTTCATAGTACTTTCGAATTGGCATATGAAATATTTGATATAATACATATATTTAAATGGAAATTATACTTTATAAGATAGATCTATTAATGTCACATATGAGGTGATCTACAATTATACCCACCATAATAAAATAAATCATCATATAATATTATTTGGATTTTATTGGTGTTTTGAATATAATTTATTTTAAAAGGATTTCATGATAAATGTAGTCGAATAATTTTGATTAAGAAATTGTTTAATTTTTGATTGTTTTATTAAATAAAAAAATAAACCATGAAAGTGTACATAATAAGATACGATGGATAGAATGAAGTATGGTGAGATTGACGGTAATTTTTCTCTCTTTTTTTCTACTGGACGAACGATATTGATAACCTCAATGATAATCTTGGAAGGCTGAATAATAATAATGATAACGATTCCCGTTCACTATAATAATAATGATAATATTATAAATATAATGAGAATCCTGAGCTACGCTTGCTTAGTACTGTTCAAGATTTATGGGGACATACGATAATGACTTCAATGAATGACAAAAAATAATGAAGGAAATAATAAAAAAACAAAAGAAATAAAGGAAAACAGAAAAAACAGAAAAAACAACAAAATGATAATAATCTTCTTAGGATAATGTTTTTCAGGGACCAACTTTACAATTATAGGGAACTTAGATGCCTCTGTAATAGGGCATGCTATATAGACATAGCGTTATATACAAAGCAGGGGCGTCGCTAGACTTTACAATCTCAGGGGGCTCAACTAAAAAATATTTATGGAGGCTTCGCCTCCCATACCCCACAATTTGCCCCGCATTTGCCTGGCCTTCGGCCGGGTTTTACATTAATATATTATACTTTAAAATTTATAAAATAGTATTTTTTAATACAAAATCTATTTATTACAGTATAAAATATTTTCGTTTTTGATATAAAAAAATTTTGCGTCTAAAGAATTATAAATGATAAAAAAGGTTAATTAATTCATAATGCCTCAATTGATAATGGTTTTGATAACTATATAATATAATATAAGCAACTAACATTGTCAAAAGGTCATGAAACTAATATAACTCTCTATTACCATTTTAGACAATGTTTTATAAGAATGAACTAATAAGAAAAAATTTATAGACCTTACCAAATCAACAATTCTTGAAGAAGTGAATATAAACGACCAATCCAAATCATAAAACTATATGGTGGTTAGAGCTTCCTCTTAGATGACATGATGGAAGCTAGATAAATAATCGAGAAAATTATTGTATGATATTAAATTTCTAAAAGATTATCTTCCATTTTTAATGATATATAAACGACTACACATGACCATTCTTGCTTATCTAAAATATGCGATCATATGCTCTCAGCCGCTGTAGTAATTATCTTAAATTACATCACACAAATAGATGCTGGTTAATTTGCAGTCCTAGCCATGAAACTCACGATGGTAACCCATATCAGAATTTATTCTGTTAGATAAATTGATAAAACAAAAACACTAAAAATCTTTAGAAGAAATTATACAAATATATTGAAGCCTTGAGTTATTTACACGTCAAAAATGCCATATTAGAAATGAAAAATTTTGTAACTACAAAATAAGAACCAGAGTGATATCATGAAAGCAATTAAGATTTATATATTATTGTCGCTCCATCTCTAGTAGTATATTATATATTAAAATAATAGTAGTTTGTAATAATATTAAAAATATATTCGTATTAAAAATTTAACTCAAATCTATATTCCGAAGAAGAAGAAAATAAAACACGTAAAAAGAGAAGAAAAGATAACGAATTTATTACATCCATTGTGGGATGAATAATAATACGCTTATTTTAATTATTTAAAACTAATAGATGGCGTTAAATATTTGTAAGCAAATTGTTACTTATTATTATTATCAAAAGCATTTATTAGTAAAATTTTAAAATTATTAACTGTAATATAGAATATAACTGTCATATACGTCTGTAAAAGTGGCATTTTACCTAATACTTTATAAAAAATTATATATAATAGAGGATTATAAACTATATGACTTAGTTTTTATAAATAAATCTCTTATACTTATTTGGATTTGGACCTTGAAAATAATTTTAAGAAGAGAAATGATAATTAAATTTAAAAATCAGTAATATAATTGATAAGTGATTTTGAACTCGGCTAAAATATTAAATGATTTTTTCAATTAATAAATGATTATATTTATTTTATTAGGGTTATATAATAATTTAAATAGTGAAAGTCAATTAAGCTTCAACTGTTAATGCTAAATTAATATTTAGTGACTGATATTGTTATTTACATAGAATTTGATTGCAAGCTGACATAGTATAATTTATATGTAATAATCTAATTTATAATTAAAATAGTATTCATTTAATAAAAATTAAGATAGTCTTATTAATTTTTTAATAAAATTAAATCTATATATTACTCAATAGATTTTTAAAAATAATCATTCAGTGGGCAATAAAACATTTATTTTTAGCTCAAGGGGATATTAAGGAGCCATTTAAAAAAATTTTTTATTGCTTCAGGGGGCTATTCAAACTTTTCAGGGGGCTCGAGCTCTTGCGCACCCCCCCCCCCCCCTAGCGACGCCACTGATACAAATAATATATTTACCGGACATAAGACTTATTTTTCTACTCTTAAATTATCTAACCAGGCGTCAGGTACATTATTATTAATATTGTTATAGTGCAATACATGGCCTTTTTTAACACTATCCTGCCGGTAAAGGAACTAATAGATCGATTCTTTCTTACTCCTCTCTTCTTTACTAAGCTAGCTGACTACATACCGTCCACTATAATAAAACCGGTATACATCATGTATCGGATGTTTATATTAGTAAATGTACATGGTGCACGCTACAACTCCTGGTGGGTGATGAAATTGCACTTCGTGCAATTTCTGGCGTGGTAATGAATGAAATAAATAAACAAAATATATATTGGTTGACCATCATTAAAATAATATTATTCGCAGTATGCAACTACAACTCTATCGATATCCTTTATAAAATTTGTATCGATCTCTATATCATATAAATGTAACGCCATGAGACTCGCTGATATTTGGTTGATAATTGACATAGTCAATCACTTTTATTCGGATGGGTTGTATCTTATTATGAAATTAACTGCATTGATCAGGTGCGATTATTTAATTTTTGCATTGTTAAATTTTTAAATAAGCGGTGGGAAAGATAGCTGTTTCAACGCTATTAAATGTATTCAAAATAATCACGAAATTGTGTCTTTATCAAATCTGCAACCAATTGATATAGGTTCTTTCTATAATTTAAATTTAATCTTAATTTTTAGATGAACTGGATAGTTATATGTACCAAACTGTTGGTCATGAAGGCATATCATACATTGCAAAAGCTACCGAACTACCATTACACATTCAATATATTAAAGGGAAACCTCTTCATTTAGATATAGACTATGAGATGAAAGTTGGGGATGAAGTTGAAGATCTCTACTCATTATTGAAATCTGTTAAAGTTAATTAAATAATTTAAAATTTGTCAAACTTTAATAGGCCAAAGAAAATATTGAAGGTGTATCATGTGGGGCCATATGGTCTGAATATCAGAAAAATCGTTTAGAACATGTGTAAGTAGAAAAATAGGATAGACTACTATGATAAATCAATTTCTAAAATGTTCTTTTGTTTTTTAAAATAATACTTAATACATTTCCACCAGTTAAATTTCCTCAATAAACCTTTATTAATTTACAGTTTCTTGATGAACAACATTATGTAGTATCCATACCCTGCTTTATTTACTGGCACAATTATTTTTATAACTATAAACTTTTATGTCGAAATAGTTAAACAATCTCTTAGTTAATCTGCATGTCTCTGCAAAGTTCTTTAGAGTTTCACCAATATATTAATAATACACTGTCTTTTCTTTTATCACTCCCTTTTTCTAACCTTTGGTGTTATAATTGTTTAACCAATCAGGTTGTGAAATTTTGAATTCTCTCCTTTTCATATCTAAATCAAATTTTGACTTTGTCCCTCATTTGCTTTTCAATCTTATTCTATATTTAGCCTTATCTAATCTAAATTAGATATCAATTGTCTTCCAAACATAATCTTGCAGGAGATCTCCCCATGAGCTATGCTCCTCAGTTGATAGGTTGTCAAAATTTGTGTCAAATATTCTTCTAGATTAGAAATGGACTCTTAGAGATCTGCATCATGGCTCAAACTTTTTGGGCCCAAATCTATTTTTAAAAATTAATTTTAGTTAGGGTTGGGCCTAATTATTTTTAAAAAATTCTGGGCCTAGTTGGACTTAAATTTTTAAATATATCATTAGATTTTTCCAAATAAATTGATATATTTTTAAATTTTTACAAAACATTAATATTTTTTTTACAATAAAAAAATTAAATTTTTCTATATTTGGGCTGGGCTGGGCAGACAATTTATTTTGGGTCAGGCTTTTGGGTACAAATAAAATTATATTCTTGGTCAAGCTTTACAGAACAAACTGTACCCATAGAGTGAGCCATTTTAGCTGATATTTTGCTATTTACTGATTATAATTTGGAAAAATAGGCATTAAAAAATTATGGGTCAGGCTGGACTTGAAAAATTAGGCCCGATGCAGATTGCTAACTCCTAACTCTTATTGCATTATAGAGATTTTTAGTTCATATGGTACACTCTGCTAATTAGAGACTGTTATAATTTATTCTCCATTTGGATATTGCTGTGCATACGATGTGTTGTAGGCTCTTGCTTCTTCGCAATCCAGTGTATTGCAAGTGATAAGATTCTGATTTTTTGGTTATTATATCTATCACAACCATGTCTCCGGGGTTCATTCAAGCTATTAGCTTACTGTAGAACCTTGGCTCCTTCAGGTCAGATTCGATTCCTATCCAAATTCGATTAAGCATGGCTAACTTATCAATAGGTGGCACAGCAATTGAATGGGAGGAGTTAGGGTAATCGGTGTTAGAGGATATCATATTATAGAGGGTCCAGTTCCCGTAAATACCATTGTTGATATTTTCTTTGTTTGTGGGCTTGGTTGTTTATGGGTTGAATAGTGTTGATTAAATATTGATGACAATCATTAAAATTTTGATGGTGGTCTTGGGCACTGCCGTCTTGTTGGGGTCCCTGGTCGGAACTGGAGTTCCTGAGTTGTTGTAAGTAAGTGAAAGCTGGTGATAAACTTCTATACCTTTAGTAACTTTTTTGTTGACCATTGTTGAGTAAATTTTTTTACTAAGTATAAAATCATTTTAATCAAAGGTTTCAATCAAGGTAATAATCAAAAGTAAATTTTCACAAAGATTAGTGACAATAACAAAGTATAATAAAAGCCTTCTATTGTATATGTATATATCGGGGTGATAATATATTTATATGCTAAACAAAATGCAAAAAAGTGGTAGACCTGAGGTCTTTCTTTTTTTATGAAGTATTTTGCGTATCATTTTTATTTCAAAATAAAAAAAATTTGATATTCATTTTTTTTAATTATTAAAAATAAGAACATTTAATTGCACCAAAAAAATCAATAAATCTCACCAATTTTTTCGAATAGAATATAGTAAGAATAAATTAAAATTTAATACTTAAATGAACATAATAAGGTTTTATAAAAGTGTATATTTTTATTCTGTTATTACCAAAAGTTGCGAAAGACTAGACCTGGAGCCAATCTGCTATTTATGGGGCTCTGATCAATCTCAATTGCTGTCAGAAATGCTTGGTACTCCAGATTTCGATATTATATTGGTAAAGGTGGCTTGCATAGGCTTGAATCTTTCAGACTTGGGCCAAAATCTCAAAGTCTTGGAACCAAAATTGAGATTAAATCATCAAAAATTTGGGATAAATTTGTGTGGTGAAGGTGGGGAATATGAAACATTTGTTACTCGATGTAAGATGTCTAACTTTTACAAACACGATATAGTGATAGTTAAGAGTAGAAAACTTTCTATTGGAATTAATGGACAAGCAAACGATTCTAGCCTTGCTCCTGTAGGATATTTGAAAATGGATGAACTTAAGCTGGAATAAACATTTTCAACCAAAAATTAATTCTCATAAATCTTATATAATGCAATTTTTTATTCTTCTAATTTACATTAATTATACTTATTAAAACTTTAAAATCAATTATCCCCAAATATAGAATTTGAGATAAATAGGATTTCATTGATCTAATAATGTTAATGATGAATGTAAATATTGGCAAATGAACAAGAATATATATGAATTATATGAATAAAAAAGAAGTTAATAAGGTGAAATCATAGCTTTGATTACTAAACAATAGTCGCTTAATGTTTTATACATTCAATTAACATTTGTTATTTAACATCCCATGGGGCTTCAGTAAAGGTGTAAACGGTAGGGAGTTCGTCTATCTGTGATCTTGTAAATTATTTTCTACAATTATAATTGTGAAATTTTTCAGAAATCTGAATTGCTTAAAGACGATGGTAGAAGATACTAGAGTTATACTCTAGAAAATTGGAAATACTGGACAAGTATAAAATTAAACATTATGCTGTGGCAATTTTAAAACAACAAATATCATATTTTAATTTATTATATATATTGTATTATTTTAACTTAAGCTTTGCGCTTCCATCTCAATATATATATCTAAATATCTCTTTAATAAACTAACATGATATATTGATAAATTTAGCTAAATATTTCGAATCCGATCTCAAGAAAAAAATTATTAAACATTAAAAATCATACGAGTTTTATTTATTCTTTTATTATATATATGCTATAGATACTATTAAGCAAAAATAAAATAAAAAATGAGGGAAAAAACGGAAGTTTGCAGTGAGAAATTGTTTTTGTATTGTAAAGCTTATAATATTTAGCTTTTGAGAAATCCTTTTATTGCATAGGTTATTGTCGACATTTAAAAGGATTTGTTACTCAAATATCAATAGTGTTTGCGGAAAAACTCGCTTGTCCTTAAAAAGAAGTTCATTGATATAAATATGAAAAAAAAAATAGATTCTAATATAAATTAGAAATAATTGAATAATTTTCTTAAAAGAAAATAGAGAAATTTAGAATCCAAAATTTTAATAAATTTGCTAAGATCTGACCTTCTTGATTAAATCTTTACACTAAATTTGATGAAAGAGTATAAAGGGTCTTTGAATAATTAGATGGGGTTTCAGTTTATAAATATCATACTAGTCCTTATATTTCTTCCCCGAATAGTAAGATTTGAAAAAAGTTCGGGCGACTTTTAGAGGTAATCATTTGTGACGATTAAATTTTAATAAACGGTAACAATATTTTATATATGATGAAACTTTCTTCATGGTTTAAAGGTGGATTTTTTCCAACGATTTTTATAAGTAATGGATGCTCTACCTCTATAATTGTTAATGATAAATATTGTTAATTCGCTCTACTGTGATGAACAATTTAATCATTGTATATATTTGATAACAAAATATTTGAAATGTTAATATTATATAATTCAGATGAACTAAAAATTGTAAGAAAAATGACTATTAGAGATTAGCTCTGGCCGAAAACCCACTAGCCGGGCCGCGGTAACTTCGATCATAATTTTATAAATTACAATGACTCTATAGATATACTATATTTTATGGTTCCACGTCATTACAAAGAAACTATTACAGAGAATGTATTTTACAGAGACACTTTTATAGAGAAAACAAAAATAGAGAATGCACTTATAGAGAAAACAATTATAGAGAATGTCGTTTATAGAGAAATAGAGAATAATTTTACAGAAAATGATTTTACAGAGAATGATTTTATAGAGAATAATTTTACAGAGAATGATTTTATAGAGAATGTATTTTAAAGAGAATTATTTTATAGAGAATTATTTTATAATGAATGTATTTTATAGAATTATTTTATAAAGAATATTATTATAGAGAATTATTTTATAAAGAATTTTATTTAATTATTTTATAAAAAATGTTATATATAGTCATAGGAAAAAAAATTACAGTATTTGACATAATATTATATATTAGAATTACCTTATATAAGAGAATAATTGGGTAGTTATAGAATTATTACAATCGGTACAGAAAATCATTTGTTTATCTTTGCACAAGGTTTTTCGATTATTAAATGAATTAATGGTAGAACAAAATTTTGCCATGATTTGTAAAGAAATCATATAGTAAAATAATATGAAAAATTTTTACAAATATTATTATTTAATTATATTTATTTAAATTAAATATCTAGTTACTTTCTAAAAAATGTAGCCAACTTCAGTTATGATTTTGAAATGTAACTAGTTATAAATATTTTTTAGCTAAAGTGTATCTAGTTAATGGTAATCACTTAATTTGACAAAACTAATGTAGAGATTTTCATTTATAAGCTTTTTTTATCTTCAACAAAATTTATTTAGTTCTTACTTATATTATTATTCTTCCTAAAAATTTTCAATTATAAATAAGACACATCGATAATCCATTCTTAAGTTAAAAGTTATTTGTCACTAAGAGATAAACAAATTTTGACATGATTTGTAAGGAATTTTAAGAAATTTATTTTTAAAGATAAGAATACAAAATAAAATATATAAAGTTGTTAAAAGTTACTTTAAAATGTCACTTATATGTTTAATACTATTTGTATATGAAGTTTTTATAAGATAAACCTTGATTCGAAATAGCAAATCAAAGTCTTTCGAAATCATCTGAAAATTCGAACAAATATAAGTGCATTCTCTATTATTGTTTTCTCTATAAAGGTTTCTCTGTAAAATACATTCTCTGTAATGGTTTCTCTGTAATGACGTGGAACCAATAAAAAGTACTCCACGCAAAATAATTTTTACCAATAAAGGTTTTTATATTGAAAATATAAAAAAAAAATTATTTTGTTTTTTTAAATATACAAAAATTAAATATTTAAAAAAAATTATTGAACCCTAAATTTTAAAAAATTCGGGTTTGAATTAAGTAAAACATTGAGAGTTCTGGTTCAGTGTTCACAGCCCTGAAAAAAACTAATCTAAAAAAACAGGGTTTAAACAAAAATCTTGACATGAGGATTTAAAAAATTTTTTGGCTCAAAATCTTAAATGATTTTTTCATAAAAAAAATTTGATCATGATCAAACCTTTTTATTTGATAAGATTAAAATCAGTTGTAAAATGTTTGCAATAAGAATAGCTAAAAAAAATGTAACCTATCCATTTTGTTTCTGTAAGCTTAAACTCATTTTCCTTATTCTGAATTTTGGCACCTTGATCACTTTCATCCACCAAATTAACTATATTTACAATTTCTCCTTGTTCTTACAATATGGGGTGCGGTTGGCTATTTAACCGATAATAGTTTGAACAGCAGTAATTTTTCTCCGATTACATTCTTATTTTTAAAAAATTTATTCAAAAAATAAAAAAATATCTTTAAAGGACCAAAAGAATTTAAGATTTATGGGGGGAAGGGGAAGAGGTTTGAATTTTTTTTGGGGAGGGGGCAATAGGTCTAGAATCGGGTCTGATATAATGGCTTTCTCTATATTTTTTGGTGTTAATACCATCTATTATTTTTGGTACCTAGGGAAATTTATTAATGGTGAAAAAAAAAATTGGTTCAAAGGCATTACAAAATATAACAATGATAATATTTTATTTTATAAAATACATTAAAAAGATATTTTTACATTATAATAAAACATATTTTTCTTGGTGAAATTTTTAATAAAAAATGTTTTAATTACAACTTTTAGTGGAATTATTAATATATTCAATTATAAGTTCTTTCGCTTCATTTTTGACTGCAGAGAAATCATAACGCTAAAACATGATCTTTTTGTGGGAGAGGCGCCATCAGCAAAAGTGAATTCAATCGGAACCACAATCTAACATATCGTGAAAATTTGCTGAAACTGATTAAAATGTAAATATATTACCGGGGGAAGAGGCGGGACAACCCATTGATGCTTCCATTCATTTTTACTACCCTTTTTAAGATCACATAATTGAGAATTCTCTTTACAAGTGGCCTCGTTAAAAAACTCAGAATTAACCGCAGATGCACTAATAGTTAAATTTTGGATATCAGAAACTAAAAATGTAATAATACCGAATTTAAATATTTTTTACCAAAAAAAATTAATCATAAGATAAAATGATTATCATTAATGTATTGTTCTTTGTCAAATTTATTTTCATTAAAAAAATGCTATACAGGTTTAACCAAAAAAGATGATTTAGAAAAATCTTGTCAAAATGATAAGAGCTAGAGAGACCTGGCTATTTAATTATAACTACATAATAAATTATAAAATAAAAATAAATGCTTTTTTTGTCAATCAAATAATATTACCTAAAATCAATTGTCGAAAATATTTTATAAAATTGGTACTTAACTTGTTTTGAATGTTACAGCTAGACTTGTGGTGGAATCACTATATAAGATGCATGCATTATCATCAATACCTTCGCATTTTATATCAACCTTATCAAACTTTGCAATATTGCCTAGATTTCATTTAAAATTTTTTTATTATTATAATTACTTTGCCCAGAGGTTTTCTCGCAAGAATCGAACTCTATAGACTTGGATTTAACAATACTAAATATGACCACATTTATAGCGAAGATCCATAAAAATTTGCACATTTTTTTAAAATTATGAAAAGATTTTTAGAATATATTAATGATAATTTTTCAATCGTGTAAATAATATATTATTAAAAATACCCAGCTGTTATTTCGTATTATAATTATTTTTTGATTATTATTTAAAGATTCATATTTCATTAATGACGACACTACACTTACACTTAAAACTGAAAATGGTATATAAGTGTTTTTATAATGATACATTATTTACTCTTTCTTTATACAACACATATACACCATATTATTTTTATATATTTCAACCATATGGTTTTCTTTAAATTGTTTTCATTTTTGCATTTGAAAATAAATGTTCTTGTCTTGTTAGCTTCCTTCCCTAAATAATTTTTATCGTAGGCGCCTAAATTAGTATTTACTACGAAACGAGATTTGAAATATAAGCAAGCATCATTAACCGAAAAATATAAATAGTAAAATCTGTTATGACAGTAATATAATAGTAACAAAGCTAAACTCGAAAAAATTAAATATTATACAAAAAAATTTTTATTCCCTATATATTATAATATTAATAAAATTATGCCAAAAAATAAATATGATATTTTTTTTATATATAATTTATAAATTAAATAATGTAAAAATAAAATAATATATTATAAGATAAGATATTTTTGCAATAATTTATTTATTTTTAACAATTGATTTTTAAAAATTTTGATTAGATAAATAGTAGTGCTCATTCTTTTTAAAGGAATCAAATCTGCTTTTTCTTTGTCAAAATCTTTTCTCAAACAGGAAATAAGTTCTCCTTCTTTCGCTGATATTTTATTTCAATTAAAAATATATATTCAATATTATCAAAATATAAATTATGTAAAATACTTCAACTGCATACCTTTTGACTTAGTCTTGCAGAATTGCATTAACAATTGGCTTACAAAATGAAATCATTTAAAGCCATTTTTTTAATATTATAATGGTTATCGCTGGAGTGAGATTTCCAAATGCATTTCTCTTTCTCTAAAATCGAAAGAGCAATAGGAATAGGTTACATAACCTATAAAATCATATATATAATCATACAATTTCACCTATGAACGACTTTTCATTATCTGAAAATCTCTGTAACTTGGATTTATCACAAGATTAGTCAAATTTATGGCCATTAGTTAAATCAGATATCCATTTCTACCTTAAAAATGGTTGCATAGTTTGGATGATACCCATATTTATTCCGCAATTGAGCTAAAATATTTGAGTTGGGGCACATACCCTTAGTTTTTTTTTATTTGTGTAAAAAATGTTTTTAAAATAAATTTTATCAATAAGAATATAAATTTATATACAATGTTTGATTTAATATTATTTAGATTAAATCTTGACTAAGAATTTAACAATTTAAAATAAAAGTGAAGGAATTTGGTGGTTGATGTGAATTAAAAACTGGCTTAAATTATTTATATAATATAGAAAAACAAATAAAAGTAATTTTATAATTTAATAAAATGTTTTTTCCATATTTTTAAGAAAAATATGAAGTAACGTTTTACATAAATGTCGTTTCTTATCTTCAAAAAAGACACCACTTTACAGCATTACTATTTTAAAATAAAAAAGTTTAAAATAATATTTCTATTCGTAATTTGGCTATAAATTATTTTTGTAAAATAAAAATATATTTAAAAACATTAGATGAAAAATTAGAGTTTATTTTAAAAAAAATTCGAAGGATTTATTATTATAAATTAATCTATCTATCTAACAATACATTTTGAGAAGTTAATTTATTTAAGAAATATTATTTAGGAAAGATTCATAAAAACCTAGCACCCACTCAAAACTGTGTTCTAACCATTTTTATATACTATTTAATTTATTCTATTTTAAATTTAGAAAAAAATATAGACACATTGCGTAACTATTTTTAGTAAGAATAGTGTAAACTGGCCCTCTATAGGTAAGATATAGAATAATAGGCACTGATTTCTTTAGTAAGTTATTTTAAGGATAATTTATGCCAATGTTTTATGATATTAATAATAAAATTCTTCTAAATTATTATACTAGGAATAGGAATGCCATTTTATTTATATATATATTTCTTCATAAATTTTAAAACCGCGTGATAAAAATTATTAATAATCCCAATGTTTCATATCAATTTTAATATTCATTGTCTTTTCTCAGCTAAAAAGATTATTTCCCGAAAAAAATAATTTATCTTTCTCATTATTAATTATAAAGTGCTTTCATGTATGATCTAAATTATCTATCTATGATTCGATGAACCATCCTTGCATTTATTTAAAACCTTATTGAGTTGACTTAAAAAAATTGATTATGGTCTTAAATTTTTTTTTTTAGAAAATTGGCTTTAACAAAGGGAGAGCAGAAAATTTCTCCTTATCAAATTATAAATTTTTCATAAATATCATCTTTAAATTAAAATTGCCCACCCTCCTCTCTTTCAATAAAAGATGTTGAAAAAAAATCTCTTTAAAAAATAATGAACTAATGGCGTTTAAACCATTATAAGCCCCTTTCTCTTAAGGAAGTCTTGGATAAGCCTATAAGTTAGAATAAGGGTGAAGGGACCTCGTGAGATTCTTTAGAAATAAATATTTTAAATATGGTATCAAGTAAAGGTTAATTAAAATGGGGGAATCAGAATATAGTCAAAAGATATTTCAATTATATTTGATACCTATATATAGAGGTCTGCAAAATAATTTTTCACAACTCGAGCCCGAATAGAAAAATAATTTCAACCCGACCCAAATAGCACTAATTTTTTTTAAATTTGAATGTGAATATTATAATATCTAAAAAACAAATTAGAAATTATGTTTCATAAATAAAAGTTTATTTGACCGCCATAATATAATCAATATTTATATAAAGTTGCATTATCAATTCGAAACTATAGTTGAGTAATGGCTAAATATTCAGGCGCCTGCAGAAAAATCCGTTTATATTAAGGCCTGTTAATTTACATTAGTTTCCTCCAAATTTGAAAACTATACCTTTTATTTAATTTAAATATCAAAAAATTGAATAAAATCGAATTTAAAAATTATTGCGTTTATATAAATAAAATAATGTGCATGGTATAATAAAAGTATTATAAAGATATATGAATAGTATCACATAGTGAATAATTGTGATATATAAATAATGAGGAGTCGAGTTTATCAGGCTTTAAACAAGTTCTCCTTTCATCAAAGAGCCGCTGAAAGCTCTCTTTCAATGTTAACCCAGCTAGCCAGGAATTTAAGAGCTAGAACACTTAAATTGGGAAAGCCGTTTTGATAAGTCTTCCACCAATTTAAGAATTGGTAAACGATTTTAAATATTGAAAAACTAAGGCTATTTTTAAATAGATTCTAGCTAAATATGTAATAATGAATGATATATAATAACAATAGTTTGGTAAGATGTTATGTAAAATAATAATTGTAAATAACATGTTATTCTAATTGACATCATGAAATAAAATTATTATTTAGAATATTTATATTTATTTGTTGTCGAACACCTCTTCCGACACGAACCAAAAAATCTTTTATGTCCGAACCCGAGCTAGGGTCAGGTCGGGCTACGTACAGTATATCAAATTATTCTTTCTATCCCCCCCCCCCCCAGACCAATTCGAAAATATCTTTTAATAGCCAATGTAAAATTCCCTCCGGGAATATCGGGAGAATTTTGAGGAAATTTGTAAAAGTGTCCCAAATAGGGGAAAAATGATAAATTTGATCATTTTATTTAACCTAAAATGAGTCATATTTGACCAATGAATTAGATATACTAAATAGAGTAAAACCAAAAACTAGTTTTAAACTTCAATATATTATTTTTTACAAATATACTTTTATTTAATGCTGAAATTATAATAATCGAAATATATATGAAATTAATTAACCCGAGAATGAAGAGTTTAACTCATGCTCTTCTTCTATAATGGTATCACTATCTACTGATAATATATTTTGATTTTCTACAATTTAACTAGATGATTATAGTATTAATTTTATGTCGTAAATAAAAATTGCATTTTATAAAATTTTTACCAAGCGTTCATTGCTAAGTCTAATAATATGATTATATTCTTAAAAATATTTATAAGGCACCTTTATAGAGTATAGTTATTAGGTAACGATTCTTTTTTATTATATATATAATAGGAGTTATAGCTGATTTCACAAAAAATAGGTTCGACTAACATCAAGATATACGCAATTTATCACTTTCTAATATGCATTCCCGGAATTTTAATATTAATATTGAATTTCGCCGAAATATCCGGCGTTTTTGACAGGTTATCTCCTAGTTTTTATTATAATATAAAATGTGAATCTTTTTTTTTTAAATTTAAAACTTTAAATACTCATGGAATCATGATGCAAAAAAAATATGTATTTTTTTTTACAATTTTCTAAAAAAAATTAGGTTTATGGAATACAATTTACATTTAAGAAAAAATATAATATTTGCAAATTTAATATCATAATAATAATGGAATGATCAAAGACCAAAATCAGCAAAAAACATGGAAGATTAAAATTTTTTATTAATAATTTTTATAATTATATTTAATTACGGTCGGTTTTATATAAATTATAAGCGACTTTATTATTTTTACTTTGTATATATTAAATAAAGAAATGAAAGTAAATTATGAAAGATATATTAGTGTAGTGTAGTTATAGTCATTATGTACATATTCATTAATGTTCTTCCAATTTTTTAATTGCAAGCATTCCATATTCCATAACTACATGCAATAATATTCAGAAAGTCATCATAAATAAATATATACAGAGAAAATTATTATTATTTTTCTATATATTAATAATGTTATAAAATATAATTGAAAATATAAAATTAAAAATATAAAATTAAAAATCGGACAAAGTTATATCAAATATATTTCCATTGCCTTTGTCAAAGCTTATATCATCAATAATGGATTTTTTTGGTGGTGCAGTATCAATCCTATCATTTGTAAATTTTAAATTTTGTTTAACGATATTGAAATTGAGATTATAACGATTGTTTTTATCATTATTATCACAATTAGGCGTTTTAATATCCAATTTTTTATGAAAAATGTTCCCTCTTTGATTAGGATCCTTAGCTCTACGTTGATATTTTGAAACCTGTGCAGGAAAAATATTTTCTTTTTGTAGATAATCCTTTGATATATAATTATAATAAATATAACAATGAAATATTATATAAAACGAATAATTTTTATGATAATATATTCGGTTGATAATAAAGATTTGAGACGGGCGGGTATAAAAATTGAACCTTGGGCGGGTGGGTTATAAATATTTATAAAACAATGGGCGCTATATATAAATTTTTCTAGTAAAATGAGCCGATGTATTTTATTCATTTAAAATATAAAAAGAGCCAAGCTAGCTAATTAAATTATTTTAAAAATTAGGCAACTAATTTTCTGATGAATGGGCTTGGAATTTTTTAAAAATCATTGGCAGATGTGTTAAACCTGTTTGCAAACCTTAAGTTTGTAATTCGAAGAGCCAAATTACTTGTAAATAATAAATTTTTTAAAAAATGGAGTGCCTTAATTCAAATTAGTATGTTAAAAAATTTCATTATATCTCTGAGTCTGAATAAGAAAAACAATATACCGTGTATGTGATTTAAAAAGCTATATTATATTAATATACCTCAAACATCCTCTTTTTATCGTTAGGCGTTCTATTTTTGAAAAATTTGTTTTTCTTCTCATTCGTTGATTCTTTCTAAAAAACAATTAAAAAAATGATATAATCAATATATTATAAATTTAAACACGTTAATATTTTTTTTACAAATATAATATGTTCGACGGGTTTAGCGAATTTAGCGCAACGCTCATAGGCCGAGATTTTTAGTATTCAAATCTTAAATTATATAAAAATAAGCGGATTATTGACTTAAAATTTATAGCAATTGGGTATTGCAGAAACGTATTCTTGAATGGGTGAAATTTTAAAAATATTGCAACTAGACCATCTCTTTTAGAAGATAGTAGGATGAAAAAGGAAATTTTATTCATTTCAATATCTTCCATGGTTTTATGTTTTATAATTTGATTTTAAAAATGGCGAGAAAAAATAATATAAATAAAAACTCGGTTCAACATTTATTATAAATACATTTATTAAATTAAGATTTATTTTTTAAATAGTTTATTCAATAAAATTAAAGAAACGAAGAACTAAAAACTCGCTCCTGAGTTTTGAAAAATAGAGGTGCCCCAGATTATTTGAAAAAATATCTGATTTATAACAACACTGTAATTTTTTTTATCACACAATCATTTTCTTTGGTATGGCATTAGTTTAAAGAGTCAACGCAAATGCTCAATTTATTCGCTCTATAAGTTTATGTATATATAATTTTACTCATGATTTGATGGATTAATAAATGTATAAATTATTACAAAATGGTTAAACATAATCTCAAGTAAAGAGTTTTGATAAAAGGCAACTGTCTAAGTTGGACAAATATCTTGGTCGTCACATTACCCAAATTAGACAGTTTTGACTGTATTAATTTATTAAAATGAATTTTTTTTTTTATAAATATTTTAATGAATAATAAAATTTTAGTATTATCTTATTTTATTAAATTAATATACCACTAAATGTCGCAATGTTTTGCTAAAAGATGACTACTATAATAATAATTACTCAAAATTGAGTTTGAATAGGAAAATTAATTTCTTCAATTTTAAATGATTTAAAACTATTTGTTCTATTTTTTACATTTAAATATATTGTTTTTATGTTTTTATATATTTTACTCTCACTCATTCTTATAAAAAACAAAAAATTTTATATAATATAATTTATTATTTCAAAAATCGGAAGGTAAGGTTGAGCATTTTATGAATAGGCTCAGTTTGCATCAATTAGGTGATAAATTAGGATTTTTTAAGGCAAAAAAATAAAAAATATTTCTTGAAATGGAAACTAGATTTTAAAGAATTTAATGCAATTTTTATAAATATGTAATATCAAAAAGATCGATCTTGATGAACTATTTGAGAAGTCACTAATGCTTTAATGGTTTCTTTAGGATCATATCATAATGGTCTAGTGATACTTTAGAAAATGAATTAGGTATACCTTAGAGAAAATATATTCCCCAAATTAAGAAAAGATTATATGATTGATTTTTCAATCCCTTTTTCTATGGCGTCATAAAAGAGTATTTAGCGGGCTGATAAGTTTATCGTAGGAAAAAGAACGGCCACAATTTATAACTCTCAATCATACACGATTGCGGGTTAACCATTATCCAATTTGGTAAATACAAATTTAATATAACTTGGAAAAATGGGACTCACTGAAAAATATTCAATAATCAGATAAAAAAAAATTAAAATTTATATATATGTGATGTTTTTGCTATAATATATTTTGTATCTAAATGTAAATATAATTAACTGAATATTATTAATTGGATGCGAGTGTAGCTAACCTAGTTCTTAAAACAAAAGAAATTATTTTTCTCATTTAGAAGAGGCGTAAAATTAAAATTTCCTCTCAAAAACAAAATTTATTAAATGAATTTTTAAAGTCCTTTAACTAACGATTTCATAAAGACTTAAAGGGGGGGGGGTACCAAGGATATTTTTTTATTCGCCCTCTAATATTACAGCTGAATAAGTATAAACTAGAACACTGGAGAGCAAACATAATGGAAAGATTAAATCATGTTAACTTATAAATGACTAAAATTTTCTCACCTGTGATTTGTCAAAAACCTCAGTTGCCAATATTTTATTCGTTATTGGTGGGGATATGTAGGGTGGCGATATTTCAAGGTATTCCTCATCATAATAATCTCTCTTTTTTAATATCGCGTTAGAATTATCTTTACTATAATCGTTGAGATTATTGTGAGCATTTTTGAGCATCATTAGAGGCTTCAAACATAACTTCTTATTGGGTTGTTTCTATAGGAAAACAAAAAACAATATAAATTTCAAATAATATTTTTAACAAACCAGTGGAGGGTGCCTGAAATTTATCAGATATACAATATTTTATAAGTATTTTAAATTGCATCCTTAGCTATTAGCATCATTATAACATATTCAGAGCTTTCTGTTCTACATATAGTCCCCTTTCCAAAAATAATTTGCAGAAAATATGGGGTGAGCCACCGCCTTTCAATTAATTTGAAACTTTTTAAAATAATATCATGAACGGCTTTTAAAAGTATTTTAAACTGAAGCCATGCAAGTCCGCCATGAAAACAGGCCTAAAAATTTTAAAATGCTTCGGGCGTTATCGATTTTTTTAAATTGGACGGGCTAGAAAAAATTTTAAACAAATTTTAAATATGTAAATGGAAAATGATATTTTCTCAAATTTTTTTTTAAACAAAATAAAATAATAATTAGAATCTATGTTAAGCATTAAGTAATGAGTGATTTTTACTTGATTTAACTTATAACTTCATTAAAATGAGTGTTATTTATATATCATTAATTAAAAATTTAGAACCGGCCAGGGTCGGACCTAAAATAAAAAATAAATTATAATTATTTATTTTTCCTTTATAGCCAATAAAAATAGAATATTTAGGCCTCCAATTATATATATTTTTTAATAATTAAATTTTTAATATAAATATCTATTCTACACTTTTTAAAGAGTATTATTTTTAAAATCCCCTTTTTATAGTATATAATGCCTCAATCCCATCAAGTTCTCTCGTTGAGAAACTAATTAAGTTAAGCGAAAATGTGAAGAAAAAAAGATGTTCTTTGCTAGATGAGAGAACTATAAGACAAGATTATCAGTGTTGTTAAAAGCTACTTTTAAAAAATATTGCGCTATCTACAACAATTTACACCCAAAAGGTGCTTATTTTCTCAATAAATAGCTCCAGCTACTACATGCAGCGTTGCTACTTTAAAAATTATGTAAAAATTTTTTTCCTTAAGAGCTAATAAAATATTGCAGTCCCAATTAGATAATTATTTTAATAATCGTAAATGAACTCTTTATAAAAATTTAAAATATAAATACTACACCTAATAAAATATTAAATTCTGTAATTTACACGTATTATATTGTAATATAAAGAAGAGAAATACTGGATAGGGAGTGGTTCGCCCTCCCCATGAAAAATATGATTTGGTAAAATTTGTGCCTATTATACTTTTATATGTTGTGTTTTGTACTTTTACAATTACGCATATATATAATTTTAGATACGAGATGTCAGTTAACTTCTACATTATATGTAGTCATACATATATATATATTTATATATAGGAGATGCCAGTTATTTTCAACGTTATTTGTATTCATACATATATTTATAATATTATATATGAAATGTTTATACATATATTGCTCGTGGAGCAATTATTAATTATCATCTTATTTTTTCTTTTGTTTTGTATTCAGTAAAATCATCTGGTAATATTCAGAAAATAAAGTAGTGCAAATCAAATATTCTTTTCCGGAAGGTTTGAAAGTAAGTAAGATAAGGAGGTGGAGAGGTAAGGGAATGTTTTTTTATAGTTGGTGCCGTGACCAGGATCCGAGGGTATGGGTTAATGCGGGGTAAACAGGTAAATAAATAATATTTTGATATCTTAATATTTTATGTTTAATCGTATATACGCAATGTACTATGGATTTTATGGAAGAAAAATGGTATGTTAATTGTGGAAGTATATGAGTATACGGGTCAAAGTGTTGTGAGGTTTATGTATTTCCATTTTTGAATGAGTATTTAAATAATTTTAATTCATACATTATAGGGGAGCTATAGTTGTTCATTTTAATATTTGTATTAAAATTTTTAATTTATATCTTTATATTGGGGAACTGTAGATGTAAATTTTTATGAATTTAGAAGTAGGGGAGATTAAGTGTTAAGTAAATAATAATAAGATTGAAAGTATGTAAGGGTCACTAGGTGGCAGGATTGCATTTAATTAAAATAAGTTACACCAACATAATACCTGGGGAGGGGGGGGGTAACAGATATTGTTATCTTGTGTCAGCTAACTCTTTATTGTGTCAGTTTTTGTGTTAGCTACCATTAGATATGGTCAAATACCTATTACCTTACAATTTGGTGTCAGGTATTTTGGGAATAAGTTTTATTGGTGATTATTTTAAGCCTTAAGACTCTTTGAATGGAGGTAAAGGTCTTCCGTCAGAGGAAAATTCAGGACCTAATGATATGCGGGACAGAAAAGATTACTTAATATTTGAATTTTGGGGATTTTAATTAGCAGGAATAAATTTGGGTCTTGTAATGTAAATAAAGAAAAATAAGATACATATATATATCTATACATAAATAATTACTTTTATATGGGTGATTTTTGTTTAAAAAAGAAGCAAATGTTGTTACATAAATTGGTAGAGTCAGAGTTTTTGTAACAATATGTTTTGGATGATTATTGGAAATTTACAAATTATGTGAAAAAGAAAATAGGTTTCAGTTGGATACTGGACATGTTTTTTTTTTTAAATTTTATTTTATAAAATATACTTTCATAGTTTTATAACACATCACATTTTATTATATATATTCAATATATCAATAAGAGATTTTTGTTTGGTCTCACATTTTTTTAAATATATTTTTTCACATTGTAAATATTAAATGTATATGAAGGAAATTTCATGATTAGGTTATTGAGTTGAATGAAGTTTATGGAATAATGTGGATGGACAATGGGTAAATGTGAGAAGGGATCCATTTACAGGTTGCATTGTTTTTGAACATTATTGGTGATGATATTAGCATGATTAATAGATTTTTTTTTTATATTTTATTTTCACAATAAATATGTAACAATTTTTGATACTTATTTTATTTGTTTCAAAATTTAAATTTTAGATTGTAATAAATATTTTCATTATGTTTATGTCAGACAATCATATATTTTAATATTTCCACCAATGTTAATAATTGAGTGAAATATTTTGCACTTTATTTTTAAAATCCAAGAGTTTATTGAGATAAACCATCACATTAATAACATATATATTAATCTTCAATGAAATGATATGTTGATATTGTTGTTTTCCTTGCATTATTCAAAAATATTTTTGTAAGTTGGGTAAGAATTATTCTGAGCCCATTTTGATATGTAGCTTTTTAATTCTTGTATTACCATTAGGCCTATTCAAAAACGAATTCAAAAACGAATCGAATAATTTACTATTTGAATTCGTACGAATAATAAAATCTACTATTTGTATTCGATTCGAATTATTCGAATTAATTTTTTTAATAAAATAAATCATACTCAAATATATTGACAAATTTTTTTATTACAAATTTGATTTTAAACAGAAAAAATTATAATAATATGTAATCAATAATCTGATAATAAATAATATATAATCAAGTTATAAACAAAATTAAAATATATATTATTAATTTAATTTATAATTTAAGCCAATTTTTAAGGCAAAGAGTTTTTCTTATATTTTCTTCCTTATATGACATGCGGTTTTTTGACAATAAATTAGTTCCAACTGAGTAAAGCCTTTCACAAGCAGTTGATGGTCCTTGTATAGATAGATAATCCCTTGCCATTTTCGAGAGTATGGGGATCCGATATGCATTTGCCTTCCACCACATTAACGGGTCAGTATCACTCTTTGCTCTTGGTTCACTCAGATAAAAATCTATTTCACACAGTTGAATATTATAAACAATATATAGCCTGTTTTGTTGAATTTTATCCTTATTTGTTTGACAGTTATAATTAAGAGCTTATAAAATAAAATCATATTTAAATGGGGGTAAATTAAATACCTGTATATCTATTGTAAATCTCTTTAAATTTGTCCATTAACTTGGATATATCAATATCATAATCAAGAGATATTGATTTAAAATATTCTACTTTAAGCCTGGGATCTAATATTGTGGTTATTATTGCATCATCGGCAGTTAAATTATAATAGCCCAACACTTTATCACTGCTACTTTGAAACTATTGTTAAAGGATTTATGGAAACCAGGTTTTTCATTTTTTAGATGTTCAAGAATTAAAATATAATAAGGTATAACCAAATTATAAGTAGGATAATTCTCCCCACATACCATATTTGTAGTTTCATATAAAGGCAATAGTATAGCTTTAATTTTTATAAGATCCTCCCATTCTTCCTATGACAAATGTTAGATTTATTAAACAATTTATTAAATATTACGAATAATTCGTTTTATTCGAATCGAATAAATGATTATTCGTATTCAGATAAAACAAATAATTTATTATTCGTATTCGTAATTATTCGATTAGATTCGAATTATTCGAATCGAATATTCGAATTATTTTTGAATAGGCCTAATTACCATATTCCTGTGGTATCCTAATTGGGGTTAAAATTTATTAAGTAAAAATAACATATTTGTAGATCTGTTATTGTTTGTACAATGAAATTTATTGTATCATACATTTTTTTTTTGAAATTTCAGTGGTACGTTCAAATAAAATATTACCATTCATATATTTTTTTGAAAAAATTCAGTTTTGATTGTTATTTTGAGAAAGTAATATATATAATATATGTCTCATTTGACCCCTGATGTGTTGGAGGATACAGATAGTGAAAGTGTGGCAGCAATAATGATCAAGAGCTATGACTCAGACGAAAATTATTATCAAGAGCTATGACTCGAACGTAATGATGGAACGATGTGAGGATGATCAAATAAACGATGAGAGATGAAGCAAAGGGGCAAAATTACATGAAAATGAATCAAACGTATACAATAAATTAAAAAAAAATAATAATAATACTTTTGGGATAATGAAACACCGGGTTTTTTGAAGGGCGGGCATGTTGTGTTTTGTACTTTTACAATTACGCATATATATAATTTTAGATACGAGATGTCAGTTAACTTCTACATTATATGTAGTCATACATATATATATATTTATATATAGGAGATGTCAGTTATTTTCAACGTTATTTGAATTCATACATATATTTATAATATTATATATGAAATGTTTATACATATATTGCTCGTGGAGCAATTATTAATTATCATTGTCTTGGATTTTCTTTTGTTTTGTATTCGGTAAAATCATCTGGTAATATTCAGAAAATAAAGTAGTGCAAATCAAATATTCTTTTCCGGAAGGTTTGAAAGTAAGTAAGATAAGGAGGTGGAGAGGTAAGGGAATGTTTTTTTATAGTTATATCTAGACAAAATTTTTGTACTTGATAAATCTCCTCCTTAATTTTTTATTTCTGAAAAATGATCCCAGAATTTTTTTCTTCTATTTAAAGAAAATTCATAAATAAGAAAAATCGATCAAATAAATAATACAATAAGCACATTATATTATTTAATAAAATTTTCACATTAAAAAATTGAAAAATGGGACTTCCCCAAAATGCTATAATTCGTATGGGATCTACGTTTAAGCTTTTCCAAGTGTAAAAGGACACAAGCACTAATTTACTAAAAAATCTCAACATAATCGTTTGAAGGTAAATATTCGTTTTCATTTTGAACTTCACCCAATCGATTCAAAATAAAATGATAACTATTTAAGATTGGAATATATTTTGTATAGGGCAAAAAGAAATTTTCATGTATTAGTTTTTTTTACATTAAATACAAATAATGCGATTATAATAACATACGCCATTGTTGCTTATTATTTGTTCCAAAATTTTCTATATTTGTTTTACAATATTTTACCTATCGTATATTATACCCTTGTGCAGGGATCCAAACCGAAACGAATATCGGTTCGGTTCAGGTTCGGATAAAAATAACGGTTCAAGGTTCAGGTTCGGTTCGCAAAAAATTAAAATATCGGTTCGGTTCGAACCTCTAAAAACCGGTTTGAACACTTTTGTATTCATACCTACTTTAGGATTATGTATAAGGAAAATTTTTTTTCATTTCATTTTCATAATTAAAATAAAAACCTTCATTTTTATTAATTGCACATTATAAAATAATATTTAACCAATAAATATATCAATGAATAATTTTAATATGAACAAATTTTTTTATTAGCCGCACAATTATTTTCAAACTTCGTCTCACTCAAATTACATCTATAAGGAGATAATATAAATTTAATTGTTAAAAAACATCTTTCCACACTAACTTGGGTAGCTGGCATTGCCAGTATGATATCACATTTGATGTGTCATGATTAATTTATTATATTATATTTTTATATACTGATTTATTGTAGAAATTATATAGCCAACATTTACGATTATATTTCTTGTTCTTAATTCATTGAATAAATAAAACTCAGGTATAATAATTTTAATAAAATAAATTTTTGATCAATTTGATTTTCCAATATTTCTTTTTAATATTAATTAATTGAATGTTAATTTATGTGTTATAGTAAAACTAATATGCAATAAAGCCAAAACTGTGTACTGCTCAATCTGCCTGGCATTTGCAGTATGCGAAAACACTTTCACAAGAAGTTCAACAAATTTTCGACATATGCATTTAGTAATTAAAATACATGAAATTCAAGAGTTCATATTGGTGCAGTCGATGCCTACCTCAGACCATCAAAAAACAAGTCATTTGATAATTGAATTAGTGTTAAAATATTAAAAGGAAAAAATCGACAAATTTATAACAATGTCCACATAATAAAGTTTTTAGGCAGATAAAACTTATCCTACAAAGGATCAAATTATACTTAAACACTTAGCCAATTTAAAAATCAAAATTTGAATCATGGAAATTTCCTGGAAATGATTCGTATTATATCAAAGAATGATTAAATATTCAGAGATCATTTAGAGAAAGCTATTTTAAAGAGCAAACGTAGAAAAGAAAAGCTTAAACTCTCTGACAAATATAAGAGAAGTGGTCATAACCTTGTTGTCAAAAACAATGCTACAAAGTTATTGATGTTGTTCTTGATCAAATCAGGAATTTAATAAAAAAGGAGATTGGTAACAAACGGTTTAATTTTCAAAGGATAACCTTGTTGTCAAAAACAATGCTAAAAAGTTATTGATGTTGTTCTTGATCAAATCAGGAATTTAATAAAAAAGGAGATTGGTAACAAACGGTTTAATTTTCAAAGGGATATTACTCAAGACATTAGCGTTTATGATCAAGAAACCATTCACCTACAATACATATATAATGGTAAAATAACAGAAAGGCTTTTCGCACTTACAAAAGTTACAAACTCTTCTGGAAAAGAATTTTTTGATATCTTGAGTGACTTTTAACATGGAATTCAAATGAGAAATATAATAGGAGAATTATTTGATAGTGCTGCAAATATACGAGGTAAATTTATTGGGTTGCATGCTCTTATTAGACTAGAGGCCCCAGGTAGTTTTTTATATTTGGTCTTAGAGTCACATAATAAATCTCTGTATATGTGATTCATGCGATAATATTGAAGGAAAAAATTTATTTGGATTATTGAACAGACTAGCAACTTCTTTGGTAAATCATATAAAAGGATGAATACTTGGGTAAAACAGAATAATTCATCTGGATAAAGTAAGTTGAGAAGGCTACAAAAAATAGGTGAGACAAGGTGGTGGGCACGTGAAATAGCCCTTAGATAGATATATAGTAAAGAGAGCTTGCTCCCAATAAGGATAAATGTACTTCAATTTATAATAGATAATAAATCATTTGAGGCAAAAACCTCATAAGAAACTCAGTCTTTGATCGATAATTTATGTTGATGTCATTATATCTTCAAACTAAAAATTTAAATATTTTATCAGCATGGAAAATGATAGAAGAAGCTAAGTCTTCTGTATCATCGATAACTATTACATCGATTCAAAATAAAACAATAAAAATGGCTTCTAATTTAAATGAAACATTTTAATATTTATAGCTCCTGGAGACTATCTGAGTATGAAATGCTCTGTAAAAAGATTGAATTGAGTGAAGAGAATATATAGAGACGAAGGTCAAGATGAACGTCCTTAAGAATCGATTGACCTTTATAGGGTCGAAGTATTTCGTCCTATAATTGATCAAATTATAAAAAGAAAGAAAGAAAAATAGCTTGTCGGAACTGTTTTTTTGATGAAATAAATAGTAAAGGTATTTCTGAAAAGGCCTTGGAATAACTGGCAGAACTGGCAAATATATTGAGTGTTAAATTAAGTAACGAGTTGTGTTCATTTGCCAGTGTATTCAAAGATTTAGTAGTAGAATTAAATGAAACGGACTATGATATCGAATGTACCAGTGAGAAGTCTAAAATGTTACAATATGATAATAACTCAGAATGTGATAATAATTGTAACAAGTGTTTAATATGAGTGTATGAAATTCTTAAAAGACACAATATGCACACAAGTGCTTACACTAATTTATTTTTGGCATATGAAACATTTTAAATTTGTCATTTACGCAGGTTAATTGCGAGAGAACATTTAGTAAATTAAAAATTATAAAAAATAGGTTGAGAGCTAATATAGGCCATGAAAATTAGAAGCATTTTTAATGATGTCAATTGAACGAGAGCTATTAGCGCAGATTGAACTAGAAGATATTCTTGTTTATTTGCACAAAGATTCAAAGTTAATGAGAGATTTAATAACGTAAAAATTATATATTATCTTAATTCTTGTATTTAAATCTATATCTATTTACAATATGATCGGTGCCTGATTTTATAAGTGCAGCAATTTTATTCTCTGTGTAAAATTGTATAAATGCAATAATTTTATATGTGTAATTAATTGATTTTATATATTGAGTATATATTATATTATATTTAACACATATGATTTGATTTTATGGTGTAATATCATTGTAAATCTAATAAAAAAAATATATGTACAATGAATATTTTTTTAGATATGCAATGAATAATTTTAGATGTGCAATTTTTTAAAATAAAATATATGATTATCGTGTTTATTAAAAATATAAATCGTTTGAACTTATTTTCAAAAATAAGAGGTAATAAAAATAATGTAATTAGAAAAAGCCATTTAAAGGAACCCGGCCGAGTAAAAGCGGGCCGAAGGCCCGAAAAATAGGAGAATATGGGGGCGAAGCCCCCATAAAAATGAGGCCGCTATAAAAAATGCCCACGCGGCCGTAGCGTCGCAAGTCCGCCCCTGATGTAGCGCATCTACTTTCAATACTTTAACAACGTTGTTAAGAATTAATCAAAATTTCGGGTCGGGTTAAATTTGTGAAGCGCTATTATAACTGTAAAAGTGGAATATTTTATAATAATCTCTAATGTCATAATATTTAAACATATATACATATTTGTAAAAAAAAATTTTTAAATATATTAACCTTATCATATTCCATGTCGAGATTTCGTGGTTTAGGCTACAGATCATATAATGAAATATAAAATTCTTCAGAAATATAAATGTTATATTATTAAAAAAATCTTAATTTAAAAATTGAAGTAACTTACCATATCCAACTTTGTTTGTTTTATGGCCACCTTGAATTTGTCTTCTTTGTAAAAGCCAGGAGTCAGTACTTTAAGTTTAGCCGATCTTTTAGTAGTCATATCCACGTTATCTAGCTTGTTAATCTTTCGATTCTTAATTTTGTCAATAGGAGTTTCCACCAATACTCCTTTTATTGCATCTGTTTGGACGGGAATTTGTGATTTTTTTATTTTCTATTAAATAAAATATGGAATATTATTAACCATAAATTATTGTGCTATCAACGCCTTTTGTATAAGTTTTAAAATATCTAAAATAAATGTAAACCTTGTTGCTTTGGGACTGTAAAGTTTGTATTATTTTGTTCTTTTCTTCCATTTGTACAAAATATTCTGTATCCTGTAGGTAAAAGTAATATAATTAAGTTAGATATTGTGAATTATAAACTCTTTTTATATATGATATGCTTTCGATCTAGATAATAGGACTGGTAAAAAGTCATGATTTTTCAATAATTTTATAAAAATAGATTTATTTGATTAAATCACATAAAGGCCATTTCCAGACATAACGTTTTTTCAAAGCGGGTTTTGGGTAATGTTACTAGCTTCTCTCCCAAAAAACTAGCTTATTGAATTAATTTTTTATATATGATATTTAAAAAAAAAAATCCAAATCCCTATTTTTTTAATTGTAAATAGAAAACAAACTGGTTTGATTTTAATAACGATTAAATGGCCTCTTGAAATGTGGTTCCGGATTTTTATTTTTAAATATTATATTATATAAAAAAAATAATTAAACAAGTTATTATCTTTTGTTTGTAAATAAAAAAAAATTGCTGGTAACATTGCTCCAAAAACGCTTAGGAAAAACGTTCTGTCTGGAAATGGCCTAAGGAAAAAAAATCAACCTGACAACTTGTGAGAAATATTTTTCGGAATTTTGTAATTAAACTTAAAGCGGGCTATAGGCAACTTGTAAAAAAATTATCTTAAGAGTCGAGCCAAAAAACATATGGGCAGGGTTGAAAACTCAAATTTCAAGGGCCAGCAGTTCGAGTTTATATCTAATGTAAACTCTGTGCGCTATCACGTATAAAATTGCATGCCATAGGACGTCTTAGCTCTTTCTTCCTTACCCAAATTGATGTCAGATGAGATCAAAAATATCTAAAAGAGACAGAAGGGATATATTTTTATTTCCTACATTCCTTAAACAAAGTGGCTGTGATACCTCAATGACTAAAAAAATCGTTGATTAGCTATTTAACTCTGAGATTTGAGAACGACCTCTTTCTTTTTATTTTTCCAAATCAAGGGTCTGATCCTAAATTCCTAAGCCATCTCATCCAACATTGTCTTGAGCTAAACAATTAAGAGATTAGTTGTGCATTCAACAATCTGCAATGTAAAGTTTCTCTTTCAAATACCAGTCTCAAGTGTGATAAAAATATTAGAGAGGTTATCACTCTAAAACATAATGGCAAAGATTAACCCCGTTATATCTTATTCATTCCAATAATTCAAAGAGTATAGAATTTTAGCATCTCAGAAATCATGGGAATGTTTAATAACATCAGTCCAAAATTCACTAAGACATAAAATCAGTTTCTTCTATTAATTTTATTTGATAAGATTTTCTTTACATTCCCAAAATAAATAGGGATATTCTATGTAGTTGAAGCGGATAAGTTAGTGAAATATTTAAATATCTCCATTAGCGAAGGCATCGCCTCTTATAAAAGATTTAAGTGCGTCTCGGGCAAAATTGAAAATCCCAAAGAGAAATTCTAGACAAATTGTAATCTTATTAATTCACAATTACATCGACTCTTTTACGCTTCATAATCTTTCAAAAATATTATCATATTTTTTTTATTATTCAATGTTTATTGTTTTTATATCTTTTTTGCAATTATTTTGAGGTAATTTTTAATAAAATATAGGAATGCGTCTCGTAAAAAAATATTATCTTAATATATACCTACACATACTACCTATCTTCAAAATTTACTAAAGTTTTCCGAAAAAAATTATGATTTCTTAAAAAAAATTTATTTCTAATAAGTTTAAATGGTAATAATAAATTATATGCCTCTTAAGTCGTAACAATTTTGATCAATATTATTAGATACCAATAATTCAAGATAAGAAATGATAAAATTAACTTTATCTTGGATCATATTAGTTAGGTGTTTGATTTCATGGTCCTTTTGGATTAACATATTTTCACATTTTACCTGTAATATAGATTGATTTATTAGAGATTTTAAGAATCAATTGAAACCTTGTATTCATCTTCTTTTAACTTTATAGTTTCCACTTCTTTCTCTTTTTCGTTGATAATGCTATCATTTTCCAGCTAATATACATATAATTAAAAAATGGCAATTCGATGTAATCATTGGCGTCCGAAAGGAGGGACAAGAGAGTGCTTAGCACTCCTCAATTTTTATTACGTTAGAACACCATGAATGTTATTTTTTTTAAATTAGATGAATTTAAAGTTTCTAAATTATTTATTCACATTGATATAATTATAACTAATCAAAAATGCTCGCCTTTTATATCATTTTTAAGAGCACTTGAAAATTTTAACTTGTAAGCATCCCTCCCCCCAATAAAAAAAGAGTAACATATTTGGTTAATATCCGTTAGTAATTATTAAATTATAAAGAAGATATAACTTGTACCTGCAATGATAAGCTATCAAATTATTTATAACTTTCTAAAATTATATTTTACATCCCTTTTATTTTTTTTCAGTCAAAAAATAAGTAAGTTATCCTATTTTTTCATAATTATAAAATGTAGTGAAAAAAAGCGTCAGTTTAAAATAAATTTTAAAGTTAATATTCCACACTTAAATAAAATAATTAATAACACTACTATTACCTTGTATCTCTCCATGGTAAAAAGCATCTCGTTTCTTTCATGTTCCTGTAAAGATTCGGCTTTCATTTTTTCATTTTTACAGTTTTCTATTTGACTCTGTAACTTTTTATTCTATTTATTTTTAAACAAATGATTGAGGGAAAATCAATTTACTCATAAAAAATACAAAGGAATTAATATACTTCTATAATATGTTCCTCTAGAGTTGCATTAATTTCTATTAATTTCCCATTCAAGTTTTCCGATTGACATTTTAAGGTTAAAATGGTCTTCTCAGAATTTTTAAACCTCATTGATAATTTTCGGTGCTTAGCAACTAGGACATTCTTGCACTTTTTATTCATTGAATCCAAATGGCTGATCTAAATTAAAAAACAATGTTTTTAGTTTCATATTTCCTATTTGGTTGAAACTGGAAAGAAATACTTAAATCTTAATATAAATGCTTAAAAGAAAGATTTTAAATAGGGTGGAGTAGACATAATATCTCCAAAATAAAAAAAATAGGGAAATAGGGGTATTTTTGTTCACTATCTTTTGGTCCGAAATATTTTTAATCGTTCTTTTTTTGGCCTGGGCCATTTTTGCCTTATATTTATATTATTTAATACCTTTTTCATATATTGTAATTTAAGTCTTTGCCAACTAATGATTCGATTTTCGTAAAATTTACTCCTTTTTGTAAGATTTCTCATGATTAGTGTATTTTTTTCCAATGTTTTGTGAAGACCTTTAATCTTGTTAATAATCATAGTAATAATAGTAGAGAATAAAAAAATGTAAAAAATACTTTGTTATTTTTTGTCTTCACCATTTTATTAAATCTATAATTTACTTCCTTTAAACCCTTTTCACTCTCTTCATATTTTTGGCTATTATTAAAAAATGAATTTAAAATTATTAAAAAAATTTATAATTTGATATATTTGCCATATCTATTTTTTTAACCTTAACTCAGAATTTTGAACATTGCAGAGTGAGATTTCATTTTTCAAAGTCTCAAGGTTAGTTTTCAGATTCTATTAGAAGGAAAATGAATTAATATTTTATTATGTATTATTTTAAAAATAGTAATAATGCCTAATAAATATGATAGAATTGAATCAAAATAAATTATACATCAATTATTTGAGATTTTTTGTCGATTAAACCATTCAAATTTTCCATATGCTTATCTTTATCATTTAGCTCTTTTACCATGGCAGTTATAGTTTGATTATTTCCAATAATAATTTCGCTAGTTTTTTATAACCAAAAAATATATTGATGTTATTTTAATGAGAATAGTTATAGGTTAAAGCTGAATATCATTTGTTTATTACTCATTCTCTTTAATTTTGATCTCGTAATCAGAGTTAGCAACAATAGCCTTTAGTTTGATGTCATTTTCTTCATTTAAAGTTTGTTTTATCTCTGTTAACTCATTCTAAAAAAATTTAAGATATTTAAAAAAAATTGGTAATATAATATAAATTATCAACGTTATTAGATATATAAATAAAGAATCATATCCTTTGAAAATAAAGTATAATAATATATATGCTGCTATTTATTTCTTCTGTATTTTATTAGCAATTACCAGTATTTTAAAATATATTTGGAGTATAATAATGAAATTATTAGTATTTTACTTTTACCAGCATAAATAAAAATATGGCAATATTTTATAGCTCCATATATTTTCAGTAAATATATCTTTTTTTAAATTTTATCACTTCTACCCAGATTTTAATGGACTTGCCAGTAAATATATTTAAATTATATTACTTATCTTTTTTTGGTAACTCACTGAAACTCGGGGAAAATTTTAATATTTTTTTTTTAATTTTTTTTTATTTAAAAATAATAAATATGCGATCGGTGGGAATTTTTTGATGCAACAATAATTAAAAGTTTCATTACTCAAAAGTTTTAAGAATTTCATATATTTTGTGAAAATTTTCACAAGCATTCAAAAAGACTGGGATGCTCCTCTGATAGCCCGTTCCGTTGAATACTATCGAACAGGCCCTTTGAGGATAATCCCAATAACTTATATGCAAACTCAGGTTACGAATGGTTGGAAGCCATTCCCAGTTCCAATTTTGGCCTCCTCATGGCGATCAGCTACACATTTTCATAGCCCTCCGCCTTGGCTGTAATGTTGTAGTTCCCTCCATTTGTATCGACTTTGGCCAGCCCATTGAATTGAAAGCTTACCATATCTTGCAATGCAAGTTCTCCCATGGACGACAACCTCGTCATTATCAACAACATTCTCCTAGCTGCCCTTAAAGAAGCTAATATTCCATCCACTCTCAAACAAAAATGCTATACGTCCCGATGGTATTTCCCTGATTCCCTGGACTAATGGTCTCCCGCTCGCTTGGGACTATACCTGTGTTTTGCAGCAAAGCCCAACCTCTCATTTTCTGCTATTGAAAAGGCAGAAATCATAAAAAAAACAAATACGCTGGCCTCACCAACACTACCAATCGTTACAAATACCCTAGGCAGAGGCCGTCAATTTCATTAAAATCATAGGAAAAAAAATGAGACAGATCTTAGGGGACCCCAACCAATGAAGGATTTTATCTTCGTCAGCAGATTTCCCTGGAAATCTTCTGGTCCATAATCTTTTCTAGGGTGATATATATGTACCCTTTTTTTCTTTTTATGTCTTTCTTCATAGATTTTTAATATATATTTATTTTTTTAAATTTAATTTTTTAATAATCCTCATTTGTTTTTTAATATATATTTTTAATTCAATAGTGCATATCCCATTTAAAATAAAGTATCAAGTTATATATACATTAAAAATGAAAAAGATGTGTGCTAATTTAATGCTATTAAGTTAGGACTACAATTTTTATTTTGTGAAAATTTTCACAATTTTTTAATTTTACATTAGAAATAGAGTAATTATTTAAAATTTTTAAAAATATGTGTGCTATATTGGATGCTACTAAGTAAGGACTATTAATAGATAATTAAGTAATAAATATAATATATAAACTGATAATATAGATATATATAATTTTAAGGAAAATTATTTAAAAATTTACTTATATTTGACATATTTTTAATAATACGAAAATAAGAATATTCACATATATAAATGAGAGGAAGATTTTCTTCTGGGGATGCTCGCCTGAAGATCCCCTCATAAACGCCCAATACGTTGAGGGATCGATATATCATCAGGGTCTATAAAGTTCCTGCTATGATTGACCGAGTAATGATCATCATTTTCATTAAGATTGTTATAACTTGAAAAATATTAAATTTTAAGATTTGTGCTATCGCAATTTACTATTTTTTTTAATAAAAAAAATATTTAAACAAAAAAAATAAATAAAAATATTTAAAAAACAAAAAAAATATTATAAAAAAATAATATTAAAAATTTCCCCTGAGTTTCAGTGAGTTACCCTTTTTTTTAATCTAATGAACACTTTTATTAAATTGTGACAATTTAAAAAATATAAAATGGTCATTTTATAAATAACAAAATATTTTATTATAATTATAATACTTGTTTATACAGTATTTGCAGTTTGTAGTAACACATTTCCATAAATGTATATAAAATTTCTTATAAAGTTTACTTTAAATAATTATTGAAAAAACATTTGTGTAAAACCTAACTATTTTTAAAATATTTTATAATTTTTTTAAAATTTTAGCGATTTTTTTTTTAAAATCTGCAATGATTTTTAATTTTTTTTAAACTTGAAATAATTTTTATTTTAAAGATGATAAAATTTCGAAATCGACCTCGATATGTATCCATAATATTATCAACAAATTCATTAATGGATAATGCTCCTAATTATCGAGCGAGGCTTATAAGCTAGAATTATCATGACATCATATTTTTACCACATATAGCCACAATTACAATTTTTTAGATAAATAAAATTAAAATATTAAAATAGTTGTTATATTCTATTGATTTTCCTACAGTAAAATATAAAAAAACTATCTTGTAAATTTTTCTTATTTAAATAAAATGATTTTTCTTCAATAATTAAGGAAAGTGTTAAAACAAATCTATTTATACTGTAGTATAAGATAATATAACTTAATTAATGGTATATATAAATAAATTTTATTTGAAAAATATGCAGTTTAACTAACCTAATCTTTTTACCTTTGGATCTTACCTGTCCTAACCTAGTCCATGAGATTGCTTTCCGAAATATTTTTGTCCCATGGCTAAGAGATTTCTAACTGAGCATCAACTTATAAATCTCAATGATCTATCATCAACCATTTCATTAAAAGTTATAGAAATGTTTTTTATTTACTGATCAAAAAATACTGACCAATTTTGTTATTAATATACTGTGAATAAATATTAATATACTGATAAAATGGGGAAAAAATATATATATTGATCAAAAAAATAAATACTGAAAATTCCATAAAAATATTGAAAGTTTCAATAATTCGCCATATAGTCGCCTGAGAATTAGAATATTTTTTCACTTTTTATAATTTTACAGTGGAACAATTTAAAAATTAAGTTTCTATTGTTTTCAATAGGATGGTTAACCTTATATTGGATTTAATTTAATATTAAATAAATATTTCGGATTTTTTAATGTAAATAGAATGGTATAATTATAAAAAATTGATTTATGTAAAAAAGTCATTTTTGACAAAAAGTGGATGTACAATAACCTTATTCTCAGGCGAAGAAATATAGATTTTTTTAAAAAAATTTGCGTAAAAATGTTAAAATTGCTTGTAGATATTTTCATAACAATGGACTTTCAAAAATATTAATGTAACCCTTTTTTCGACGGGAACAAAACTCATTTCCAAATAATAGATTCCTGAATTAATATATAGTTTTTAAAAAAAAACCTCTAATTCCTTTTTGGCATTGTTAGTGCTGTGGCATAATTCATCCAATTCCTGATAATCTAGATTAAATTTATTAATCGTATCAATATGTTCGTCTCGCTCTTTAACCATATCGTTCTTCGTAATGATTACGAAAAATAAAAAATTTAATATTTCTAAAATAAGTTATTAACTAATAATTTTTTAATATTATACGTAAATTAAAAATACAGCTGATATATTATTTGCAATTATTTATTCGAAGTATAATAATTATTCCACTAAATATTCTAACTTTTAAATCAGTTAACAAAGTTATCTCTTCTCGCATTTGATGAATTTTGATATCTTGATCATCTACAAATATTTATATTATCATATAAGTTTTATATAAATTTTTATTTAAACGGTGGATAGATAGTCAAGTGGACATCTAGCCTACTAAATATAGGAGATGGTGATGGCCTATAATCTAATCAGTGGCATAGCTAGATTTTAATGATTAGGCGTGCACATTCCCATGGAAATTTCTTGCTAATAGAAACCATTTTAAGCCTGCTCCAATTTTCCCAGCTGTGCCACTGTTTAAAGCGAATTCATAATAAACGCGATAATACCGTGAAATTGTCTAACAATTTTTTGATTATATATTCTCCCATAAAGAACGATATCGTGATATATTCGCTTTTATTATAAATGCAATCTTAGCCATCGTTGTTTAACATTATAATATAGATATTGGATACTATATTCTCACTTTTGATCTTAAGGGTATCATAGTAGATACTTTTAAAATTATTCAGTTCCGTTTTGATTTTATAAATCCTAAAAAAAATTAATATTCAAATTATTAAAGTTGATTATTATATACTCATCATATTTGTCATAAACATGCGACTTTAAGCTGTTAAACTTTAATTTCCAGTTCAAAATTTTAATCTCAAAATCATTCAGCAATTTTTCCAAATGACCCTTTATTTTAGATGTCGTGCTAGATTCGTTATATGTCATAGCTTTACACTTTTGTGAAATTTTAACAAGCTCCGATTTTACATATGCATTTTCATCCTAAATTACAATCAAAAATAAGTTTGTAATATCTATAATTAGTCGGTAATATCATGTTATATTATTATGATATAATAGATTTATATAAGGTAGGTAGAGGTCCGCAGGCCAGGCTGGTATAATAATTTTTTACAAGTTGTAGGGCCCGATTAAATTTTTTATAAAGGAAAAATAAATTTTGACTAATAATTGCAAAAATTCAGGGCCGACCGGATCGTAAAATTTTTTTGTCTAAGTCACACGGCGCGGCCTGAAAATCTTTTTGTGCGGGCCGGATCAGGCCACGATCTCTAATAGTGAAACATTCATAACAAGACCCCTTAAGAAATATTATGCTTTATTTAGAATCGAGAGATGGTCTATTTCTATTATAAAAATTTTTTAAAGCATTTTGATAAAATTTTAGCGTTTTTCAATTATAATATTTTTAATAATTTTGAATTTTTTAAAATTATACCTGAGTAGATGATAACTTGGTGAGTATATTATTCAAATATAACTCTCTATCCTTTAATTCCTTTTCATAAAACAGAATTTTATTATTGAGCTGAACTAAAAAAACCACAATTCATTATAAATAAGTGAGTAATAGCGCTAACTTTCGTTATCTGTGGCAATGTTATATTTAACATTAATATCCTCGCGATCGATTTCACATTTATTCAGATTTTCTTTCAAATTTTGACAATCATTATCTTTATTATTAAACTTTTTGCACAATTAAAAATATATGTTGTTCTTGTTATAATTAATAATTAGTAGCCTTCATTATTAAATCACTTCTTAAAAAATTGGGCTTTAATATGTGAAGGGTATGATAATCATAAAATCAAGTTTACGCAATAGAGGATTAAATAAAATTATTATAACTCCATTCAATAGCATTGTTAACTAACGTTTTGAACTGCTAAATTTCTTTTTTTAAGAGTCCTCAAAAACGTTTTGATTAAATGGAATATATCTTACACGTAAATTAAATCTAGGGATGTCGATCATGCATTTCTCCCTTAATTATTTATTTATCTCCAATGTCAATCAAATTTTATAAATTAATCATTTTTAAAATAAAACCTGGATTTGCAATCCTTGAATGTTATCATTTAATTTATCTTTTGTATTTTTTTCTAATTCAACTATAATAACAATTACTTAAATAGAGTAGATGTAAATCTTTATAATTACGATCAGCCTTAAGGTTTGAAATATTTCTGTAATAATTGGTTTCCAAAATTTGAAAATTTTCTAGTAGCTTCTAATAAATGTAGGTATAAATAAAATTTTTTTATATAATTTAACTCTATATTTAAGTTCATCTTCTTGACGAATTTTGTAAATTTCTTCTTTGGTATCATTAACTAAAAAACCAAAAATAGTCAATAATGAAAGATAATGTATTATTAAATTTTAAAACTTTGTCAAATTTATAATAATTTACTTTTTTTTATCATGGTTTTTTTTAAAAAGAAAAATGATATAAATTAAAAATGTATTCAAAATTCTAATAAAATGTTCTATTTTGTTTAGAAACTTGACTTTGAAATATTGCTATTTCCATAATACTATATTGCCTCACTGTGTGTTGGAATTATCTAACCAAGTGAATATTTTTAGAATATAAATTGATAAATAAAAAAATCAATGCAAGGTTGAATCGGGGTTATTTTTGTCAGACCCAATCCAAGAAAAAAACAATCCGAAAACTCTTTTTCAAAGATTCGAAAAAATAGGTTCGAATACAATTCAATTCGATTTTTTTATTGTACTGTTAAATAAAAAAAGTAGGATATTACAACTAAGGCGGAAAAATTCTTCATAAAAATATTAGTAAAAACGAAATCATTTAAAATTAATCAAGATTCCAACCGAGTTTGAGATAATGTCTATCCAGTCTGGCCAAACTGTATTCGAATCTGCATGTTCAGGTTCTAATATCCATTCATTTATAAAGCTAACTCTTCAGGCTATATTATTCATTCATTTATAAAGCTAACTCTTCATGAAGGCTCTAAAATTCATTCATTTAAAAAACGAGTTCAATTTTTTATGACAATATTTTTATGAAATCCAACTATTTTATTTTTACTTTTAGTTCGTGAATCTGAATACCCATAAAAAATTATAGTGAACCCTAACTATTATGGCGGTTTTTTTTCTTTACAAATAAAATTAAAGTGAAAGCATTTCGATTATTGGGATAAATGTATAATTTTAAAAATCAAATTAAATTAAACCAACACTAAGTTGACGACAGGAATTAAAGTATTTACAATAGAAAATGAGTGTGAAAAATCCCATTTTCGACCCAAGAAATTAGAGGTGTCTGACACTGTTTTATGAGGTTATGCAATTTTCCCGATATAACTTGATATCGGCAGTTAATATTGTCAAAATCTCGATTTTGCTGATTTTTAAAAAATGGCCGTCATGATTATAGCTAAAAAAAAATAGCACATACATATCGAGATTTCTTCATTTGGTTAAATATTGAGGTTTAGATATTATTATTTTGGCTAAGATCTTGATTTCTCAATTTTTAAAAGTCGGCGAAATCAAGATAACACTATCGGCCAATTACTGAGATCCGATATCATTTTTTTAAATACCTTTAAATAAATATTTCTTAGCCTATAATATTTTATTTACGCTCAAGTTAGTATGTAATTTAAAATATACTATAAATTAATATAATTCTATGATAGATTCATGATATAAAATATGTTTTTGATAAGTATTTTGCATTTTATTTGTTGTTAATTATAATCAGGATTTCACAAATTGTTCAAAATAAAAAATTTTTGATCTCTAAAATTCAAAAAAAATTTTGAGAATGCAAAAGTAGGTTTTCAAATTTTGCCCAAAACTCTAAAAAAAATCTTTCATACTTGAGAAATTTTTATTTTATATATCTATTATTACAAATCCTCAAATTCAAATAGATAAAAGAGGGAATTTATTATATTGTTAATTTTTTTTTAATTATTAAAAATTGTTTGTTTATCGCTTAACAAGTCTATCTCTTGGCACAGCATTTTTTGTATTGAAAACCTGTTCACTGAGTATTCAATATGGCAGAGGTATATTATATTTTATAAAAAAGGTTTAACATTTGTAAATTATTTAAGGGTTTCCAAAGATCTATCATTTCTCTTGAAGAATTTTGGTAATTCCGAGTTATCAGTCATCATCAAAATAAGCTATTTTTCTTGGCATGGAAATAATTTGGCATTTATTTCCTTAGAAGTCTTATTTTTATATCCATTATTTCCACTAGCATTCTATAATATAGTTGAAAACATCCAATAATAAGCGCCTAATTTGTTTTTGTGTTGGCAAAGTCGTTAATAGAGGCATTACTTTTTTTTGAAGAAAGGTAATGCAATTTGTTATTCAAAAATAATGAGTTTCCACTAGCATTACTCTATAATAAAGTTGAAAACATCCAATAATAAGCGCCTAATTTGTTTTTATGTTGGCAAAGTCGTTAATAGAGGCATTAATTTTTTTTAAAGAAAGGTAATGCAATTTGTTACCTTTTCAAAAATAATGAGTTTTGAGTAATGATATCTGAAAACATTATTTCTTACTTTAAAAAAATAAACCGTCTTCATTTTAACCAGCTCTTTTTAAGGAAAAATCTTTAAGGAGATTGGAATTTTTTTTAACTCAGTGGAATAGTCTTATGAAGAACAGCCAAATTAGATGAAGATTACGATAAATAGGAATTAAATATTTTTAGTTAATGACAGTCATTTATAGGTGAATATTGTATGGTTAGGTTAGTAATTAAAAAATATGATATGTAATGTATTTATATTATTTTATAAGCTGTGGAATCCGTTTCTACGGCTCTCTCAAATTTAGAGATAAAATAAATGCATTCCCACTCCCACGATAATTATATTATGCCTAAAAAAATGTCAATAAATAATATCATGTTTTGTAATCTGCTAATTAACGCAACCCTACAAAGATAAAGATTAAAGGTTTAGAATTAAAATTTTGTTCACAATTTACATTTGATAGTAAAATTTTAAATCGAACAGATTTATTGTCCCTGGATAAAATTAGGGGGTAAAAGAAGGAAAAAAACCATAAACTTATTTTCAGTTTGAGAAAATATTTTGACAAATACAAACAAAAATCACACTTATATATTTTTTTAAATAACACACATAACAGAGTAACTTCTGTTAAAGATATAAAAAAAATTTGTTGACGATCTGAATAAGGATTCTCATTCTTTAAATATTTTTAGTAAATTCCCATAATTAAAATTTTTATTAAATTTAATACAACCCTTCCATCCTCTGTGTAAGTTAATAGTTCGTAGAACAGTTGTTGAACCCTAATCTTGTTACAAAATCTTGCCTAAAATAACTTATCCTATAATTTTTTTAAGTAATGAGTCACTTTTTTCACAAAGTAACGAATGACAATAGGGTTAATTTTTATAAGGCAACAGAAAGGCATGCGTAACGTTTTGAAGTAACGATTATAGCACTTTTTAAATTGATATAAATATTAAGTATTAAAATATAACGTAACCTAAAAATAAGTTATGCATTCGTATTTTTCCCATTAAAGTACCGTCGTTACCTGAATTATTGTTATTTATAACGCGTTACTATTCATCACTATATTATAATCATCGTTTTAAACTAATATTTTAATTAGTATCAAAATTAAAAAAAGTATCTTTATATAATATTTTTTTAAGGAATACAAATGTTCAAATATATATAATATATTACAAATATCAATTTGTAGAATATTCAAAGTTTAAGTTCAAATAACACCTTAATGTTTCACATATATATTTTGCATTATTGAAATAAAATTTAATAAAAATTTCTTTTTATCTACAATTATATCGGAATAAGATAACGATTTAGCCGATAACCAATTTCTAAAAAATGCTCGGTCCAATATCAAAATATCGGTGTATCCCAACAAAAAACACAAATTAAAAGTCAAATACACGATGTATAAATTACGAGTCAAAATCAATTTAATTGTTTTTGATAATCAAATAGATGCTTACATATTATAATTTGTTCATTCATATTTGTTGTGAATGTTTTTAAAAGTTGGCAAAGGTCCCTAGTAGTTTCAATTCTGTTTTAATTACAATTTATAAGGTCAATTAAATTTTATCTACTTAGTTAAGATTTCGTCTTGCTTTTCATAACTTTTATCTATCAAATCTCTAAGGTTTTCATTTTTTACCTATAATTATTTTATATTAAGACAAAAAGATCAAATAAACTTTCAAATCTACATTTGTCTTTCTAAGTGAATTGATCAAGGCCTCATTATTGCTATTTAAAATTTCCTTTAATAAAAAATTTTAACAGATATTGTTTTAGACTTGACCTTTTCTTTAATTTTAGCCTCCATCTCTTCCTTCCATTCCTGTATCTTAGCAGCTTTTTCGCATAAAATGTGTTGTATATCCTCATTTTTTTTCTTAATTTCTTTTAAATCTTCTTCACAATTTTCGAATTCCGAGCATGTTATTTTTTCATTATATAATGGATTAACAGTATTTTTGATGCTAACTAAAAAATTAAATTGTCTCAATAATATGGATAATTTTTTAATTTTACCTTTTTTTTCTTCAAATTGTTTGCTTACTCTTTTTGTTTCGTAAAAATCAGGAAATTTCTAATTCAGTCAACAATTAAAATATTAAATTTTATTATTTACAATAGATGGGAACATTAATGTGTAAAAGCAGACGACTAAATAAATTTGGTACAGATCAACTTAATTACCAATTTTAATTATTTTTATTTAATTTAAAATAATTAATTCATAAGCTTAATATTATAACTATAATGAAATCTTTTTATTATTTTACATAAATAAAATAAATATAATTACAAAATATAAATTTATAATTAATTTAATCTATCTATAACATAATTTATTGACTGTTAAGAGGCGGTTTGAGGTCTATATTTTTGATCATTTGATCCATTAACCAATTGATGCTTTCTTTTATTCCTTCCCTATTCAAATAATAAAAAAATTTAAATTAGGAGATGAAAACCAGTGTTGTTAATGCTACTATTATAAGTTCTGCAACTTTTCAAAAAAGTAGCGGGCCGCCACTTCCAATATTTATCAGATAATAATTAGCCGAAATTTAATGTCCAATTTTATGCAGGTAGAGAATTTGTTAGATTAAATGTCATATTTTCAATGAAAGGACATATCCCATAAATTTAATCATAATAGAATTCTTAAAAAACTTATCTTCTAAAAGGTAGAGATTGAACAATTTGCTAAATATAGATATTAAAATTAATGTTCTCCAGCTAAAATATCATAAATTTGGAACAATATATTATTTTTAAAAAATAGAAAATTTAAAATGCCAGGAATCGCATGGCTCTATATTTATATTCTGATACGTTTAAAAAGACAAGAGCACTAACATTTTGATATATTTAAAACGATATCTTCCAGTATAATCTCATATCACTGCTCATTCATCTTTCTGAATTTTTAATATTTTTGAATAGAATTTATAATATAAATTTCCAAAATATAAATTCTAACAATTTTAAATCTAGGAATTATAACTTCTTTTATTTAAAATTAATAATATTGTTAATATTTATTATAATATATTTATTTAGAACATTTTATGTTTTATTCTGTTTGATCTAAAGGGGAAAAGAATTATTGGTAAAAATGAAAATTGTCAAAATTAGCATCATGCCATTTAGAAGTTATAACTATCTGGTCTAAGTAAAAATTTATTGTCTTACTTATTAATTCGTTAATCAATTTCGCCAGCCACAAATAACCAAATTCTAAATACGTATCACGCATTAAGTGTAAAGTCATCCAAAAATATGGAAGCATTATCTCTGATATTCAGAGTTGTTAAAGGATATAGATACAAGTATCTAAATCCTATGTATAGATATAAAAATGTGGTATCTGTATCTTATCTAGATAGATTTTTGATTAAGATATCGGTATCTAGATATTATTTTAGACGATGTATCTGTATCTAGATCCATTTAAAAAGTATCTTTTAACAACTCTGCTGATATTTATGTCAATAATTAGTGTGCATTTCATACTTTTTAGTATTTCAATTCGTTTGGTGGATAGTTTAGAGAAAATAATTATTGATAAAATAAAATAATTTGCAAAGATTGACATCATGGTAAAAGGAAATTATAAAAATAGAAGGCATGATTATTACCTACTAATTCATCAATTAATTTTTCTAATCAATAAATAAAAACTGGTTATAAACGAAATAAAAACTATGGCATGCCTTAAGAGTGTTAAATATCGAATTTTAAATTAAGATTCAAAAATCAATTATGTTAAAATTAGGGGTGTACCATTTTTTGAAGGACGATCCGATCCAATATTAAATTAATATCGGCCGATTACCGATCAGATATCATATCTGATTTTACATTCTGTAAACATGCTAATTATTTTAATTTTCAAATCATATATCTAGTGTTGCAAAATCGCTCAATTTATCCATATAAATATTATTTGCTCATTGATGACAGAAAGTTTTAGATATCTAAATCTCGAAGCTTATGTAATATTTACAGGCTAAAATATTGAGTTAGTCGTTTTTAAAAGTCGGCTCAAATGAAGCGAATTTGTATCACTACCATCTACTCATCTTATATACTTTTTAATAATTTACATCTATAATTTAACTCCATAACATAAGTCATTTAAATCTATTATAATAGTTATAGTTCTTATTTATTAATCTAAAAATATTTATAAAATAGTTTTATTGATAAATAACTTATTAATAACATTAGTTTATTTACATAATAAATAATAAACAAATATATGAAATGAAATAAATTTATTTAAAAAAATATAACAATAAAGGTAAAATATCGGCCTGATTCGATAAAAAATATTGGTACATCCCTAGTCTAAATATATTAAAGTTTTTCCCCAATTCAAAATATTTTGAAATGTTATGATTCTATAATCTTTATAGAAGTTGTATGTTCTTTTTATTTATTTAATAAATATATTATTAAATTTATAAATATCTAATTTGCTTAACAATATAAATTTTATTATTTATAGTTTTTTAAAATTATTCCCTTGTCTGTGCCACTGTATGGTATAGTAAGTTAACTCATGATAATAAAATTTATTTTATAAAAGTTTGAATTTCCTTATTGAAAGGTTGAGATTATGAGATTAAAGCATGAAAGTTAGCCAGATGCGGTTCCCAAAACTAAAAAGCAAAAAGTGAGTACAGACATAAAAAAATTAAACATTATACGTGATACGTGAAATATAGCGCATATGCCCTCTAACCGTTGAGTAAACAACAGAGCTACGCTAGGTATTCCTCACTTCCATCTAATTGGAAAAACGAAATTAATTTGGGTACGAAAGTAAAAAAATGTGAGGAGCCCTCTACACGTTTGTGGGCAAGCCGCACATACTTGTACGCACTTAGGCGTCCATAGGCTCCAAGAGAAAGAGCGGGGCAGAGATAAAGAGCCTATGCCCAAGAACTGCGCGTAAGTTAATTACTTTAAGAAAAATTTTGTTCAGGCATATATTGTTTCAAACAACATTTAAAATATAAAGTACATACCAATTGAGTTTTAGTTTGTCCTGATCTATAAGCAACACAGTGGTTTAGAAATATTAAGAAATTATTTATTTCAGATATCTATCCTTAATACGGAAAAGTTTTTTGATAGAGTTTTTGCAATTATTTAGTTTGATGAATTGCTTCATGTTTAAGTTAAGTTCCATTACATCTTTTATTGTTTTATAGTACCTAGGGATTTATATTTATTGTATTCTTTTTTTTATAAGTGTATAGCCATTTAATTGCATCATGAACTAGATTATGTTCTGAGTTCCTTATGATGTGGGCGAGGAATTGAATGCGCAGTTTTTTTAAGGTAATGTTTATTGGGGTGTGTTTTGATACCTTCCATAGATTATTGTTGGATATTACTCTCGGGTAGAAGATTCCGTTAATGATTCGGAGGCAGTTATTTATGAATGATTGTAATTTTCTGTTCTCCGTTTTGTTTAATTCCCATAGATCTCCTCCATATAGCAATATTGGAATAACTGTGGAATTAAAAATTCTTAGTCTGGTGTGTACAGATATTTCTTTTATTTTCCATATTTTCATGTATTTATAAAAGGCTCCTCTTGTTTTTTGTATTCCTATTTTCAGCTCTTCTTTATAACCTCCTGTGTTGTCAAACATGACGCCTAGATATTTTATTTTGTCAACTATTTTGATTTCATTTCCATCGATTGTGAAATTTAGATTTTGAGTTGCGTTTGGAGAAGAAAGAATACAAGTTTTTTAAATTTATTTTTAACCCCATTCTTAGGCTAAGGGTTCCTAATAAATATAGCATATCTTTCGTTTCTTCGAAGCTAGTCGATATGATGACTATGTCATCGGCATAAGATATTATTTTGTTTTCTAAACGTATTGTTGTGTTTGAGCTTATTTCTATTAGATTTGCGCATCCTAGGACCTCTTTTATAATTTTACTGATTATAATATTAAACAGTAACGGTGATAGAGTACAGCTTTTTTCACACCTTTTTCTATTCTGAAGGTGGGGGATATTTTATTGTTGACTTTAAAGCAGGCAGATAGTTTAGAGTAATGATTTCTCAGAATGTAGATAATATTGAGTTCGATCTCACTTTCCAAGAGTGTCCTCCATAGGGCCTCGTGATTCACAGTATCGAATGCTCTACTAAAATCTATAAAAGTGAAGAAGGCAGGGATTTTATATTTGTAGCATTTTTGTATTGTTATTTTTAATGCTAGAATTGGCTCTAGAATATTTTTATTTGGCCTATATGCGCAGATGTATTTGGGTAGTAAGTCTGGAATTGAAGACATGATCCTGTTTTTTAGAAGGACCATATCTTAGATACTGTAGATGTAAGGGCTACCGCACGATAGTCTTTAAACTCTCTTGGGTCATTTATTTTGGGAAAATTGCATAAATAGGACTTATTCCATTCTACAGGTGTTTTGCCACTATCCCAGATTTTGTTATATAGAGATAACAGGAAAGAGGATACAATTTTGGGTGCTGTTTTTAGATGTTCCGCTGTTATATTATCAAGCCCAGGGGCTTTATTATTGCGTAATTTTTTAATTACTTTTTCGATTTCCTCAGTGGAGAAACCGGATGAGGGTGGAGTTACATGCTCATTTGTGTTTGTCTGGCAGACGGCTTTCCTTGAATCAAAGACTGTCATATAGTAATCTAACCATAATGCTATTTGTTCATCCTGGTCCGAAATTTAATTTCCATTTGCTAAGACTAAAGAAGGTAGCTTCTTGAAACTGTAGGGTTTGCAGAAATATTTTTGTTTATTATAAACTTCATATATTCTGTTTTCTTTCATATCTTTCTCTATTTCAAACGCTTTTTTTGCCACAAACTTCCTTCTATCACTTCTCAGCAATTTCTGTATCTCTTTCCATTGTTCTCTGTTCAAGTTATTAGCTGACTGATTTTTCCTACAGTTTCATTGGATAACCACTCTTTCCTTAAGTATACATTTATATTTGGTAACATGTTATAGGATTCAGTTATATCTTTCTTGAAAAGATTCCAACATATATCTACGTTCCCATTTGAGGTTATATTTAGGAAATTTTCTCTCTTCCTGACCAACATTTGATCAAATTGTTGTATATCCTCTTGTGATTTTGCTTTTATTTGTTTACGGTTAAGGAGAGGTTTTAAGAAATTTATTCTATGTCTGGTCATATTTGAGCCTATCTCTTCGCGATCCCATATATTTTTTATTGTCATTTTTGCCACTATCTATATATATGACTCCATGAGTGATGTTATGAAATTTTTCAAAAATGTCAAGTTAGAGCAAATTTAAAATATTATTGTTTTGGTCAAGGAACTTTATATCATTCACTACCTACAAAATCAAATGATTCTAAAAAAAAACCTGAATACATTGTAAAAAAAATTATAAGAAGAAACATTTATCAAATTTTATTTAAAGCCAAATATTCTTTGTAAAAATCTTTTATAATAAAAATTTTGTAATTTTCGAGAATAAAAAATTATTTATGATGAAATCACAAATTATTTTCAAACTCTGAAAAAGTTCTTTTATAAAAAAAAATTAATAATATTATATTTAAAAAAAAATTTCTTGTTTAAAAAATTATAAAGATATATAATCAAATCACAGAGTTTAAAAAATATCTTGTTTAAAAAATTATAAAGATATATAATCAAATCAGATAAGTACTTGTTTTTTTAAATATTATTTTAATTATAATTATAAAAATGGAAATTCAATTACTTTTCTTACCCAAAATTTAATTTTATAAAATTATTTTTTTTAATTTTTAGAATAGAGGGAGTTCTGACTATGATTTCTTTGTTTTTAATAATTTTAATTTCCTATTTTTGCTAATGTTGATTTAGAGGTTGAAATTTATGAAGAGGGCACTATTTTAATTAGTTTAGGGGTTGTAGATCCCTGTTCTAATGAAGAGGGTAACTTTTCAATTTTTTTAATATTTTTAAATTCATTTTGAATAATTTTGGTTTCTGTAAATCATTCAAAAAAGATTGGATCAATTTTCTAAGTTCTTTAAATTTAGTTATCTTGAATAATTTTGACTTAACTGGTTATTTGGTATAATTAAGGTATTTAATATATCAAGTAAGTCTTGGTTTAGTTTTTTATTTTTTTTATATGCCCAAGGCCAAATCCCTGAAAGTTTTGGGCCAGTGAATCTATGATATAAATTATAAGTTTATTTTTATATTGTCAAAATAAATTTCAATAAAAAAAGAAAAGACTTGAATTTTTTATACCCATTTATTGCTGATATGGAAAAAAACTTGTGTTGATTAATTAACAAGTTTGATGTGAGTGAATTAAATTCATTTCTAATTTGAATCAAAGATAAACAATCTTTTAGATCTTGTTTGTTCAATAATATCATTATTGGTAAATTATTAATGAGGTGATTTTGTATAATTTTCTCTAAAATATTATAAAGGTATTTAGTAAGTTTACTTAATTATAACTAAATGCATTTTTAGATTCTGTAAGCCTTTGGGTATCTGATGAGTCAATGACATAAATAATTGCATGTGCTTCTGAATAATACTAAGATTATTATATTTTTATATAAATATTAAAATATACTTTGTCCCATAATGATTGAAGTTCTTCTTGTCCACCTAGATCCCAAAAATTTAATTTGCTTGGCCCAATAATTATGCTACCGACTGTTTTTATAAAAAATATACTTAAAATATTTTTATCAAACTATTCATTCCAACAGTTGTGGTAACTCTATGCAAATTCGATTTGTTCAAATTTTGAGAGTATTTTATTTTCGCTTGCTCCAGATAAGTCTAAAAAGATATAAAACAATATAAATGATTTTACTGTTTTTCCAGCATTGTCTAATCCTAGTATAAGAACAAAATACTCATCTTTTTTTGTTAAATATTTGTAAAAACCATAGAAAAGAGAAAACATCTGGAATCGAACGAATATGCTGAAAGTACCATAAAAAGATAAATGAGCTCTCAAATATTGATCTGAATAACAGTCATTTTATAATTGACGCTAAGAAAATCTAAGATCAATTAATAATTAATTTTCACTTTAAATTTTATTTTTGGTTAGCGAACGATATAATTATCTTTTTTAAAAAAATATCATTCTTGTTAGATGAAAATTAATTTGGATTAAGATTATGCAGCATTGATTGTTTTTTTTAAAATAATAGGAACAAATTCATATCATTCATTCCTTATTAAAGTATAATTGCCATTATTCATACCATTTGATGTAAACAGGGGTGTATTTAATGTACCCGTTTTGGGGAATGAACAGGTACCGATTTTTTTGCTAATTAAGAATTATTTTTTTGCCTTTTGATAATTTATTTGAACTGGTTATCAGGGGCGTCGTTAGCCTTTATAATTTCAGGGGACTCAACTAAAAATATTTTATGGGGCTTTGCCCCCCCCCATCGGTCCGCTTTTGCTCGGGCTTCGGCCGAGTTTTATATAAACTAGCAGAAAGCCTGTCAAAAATGATGGGGAATGAGATTTTTATTCATTTTTTACGATAGATGTCATGCCAGGTTCAAGCTCTCAATATTAGGAAGCATCCAAGATCTTATAATTTTAAAAAAGCTTATCAAGCCCAGCTCAACCCTTAATAATTTGTAAAAGATATTCCTAAGTCAGGTGCAAGCTAATATTAATTTTGAGGATCCAAGCCCAGTCCTACCCATTATAATTTTGAAAATTTTTTCCCGCCTTGAAGATAGTTAAATTTTTAATATCATTACATGAACGGGAAATATCTGATTTACCAATTAGTCTAATATGGAAAAAAAAAGTAAATTCCGTTTAAGGGAAACTGGGAAGGTCTGGGCAACCACTTATTAGAGAATCATGACAAATAAAATAAAAATAACCGACTCTTATACTTTTTTGTAATATGATCAATTAAAATTATATATAAATAATATGTTGTTTATATAAGATTATTGTTGTTTTTCAGATAAATTTAATGTATGACTTGCATTTCCGAAATTATTTGTCAAAGAATTTGATAAGGGATATATATTTTTTTATATTAAGTAAAAAAAAAATGCTGTCTATTTAAATTACAAAAATGCCATTAAATACTAAACCTTATATGCAAATTATTTATATATATTTTTAAGATATTTTTTTTTATTGTCATATATATTTAGGATAATTTTTTTAAAAAACAATGAGAATTATTTATTATGTATTTGATAAAATTAAGAGCAAATCCTTGTTGACATTTTAATTTTTGATGGAAAAAATGACAAAATAAATCTGGGCGGTCATCTGGAGAGGAAATAATTAATATATAATTTTATATCATTTAGGGTTGTAGATGAAAGTAATGACGGATTAACAAAGCAGTGTACAAAACAAATTGCATCCTGATAAAGATGATATGCCTATGCCTTGGGATACTGGTAAAAGAAGAACGCAAAATGATATTTCTGTCAATGTCAACATTGGTATCCATCTCTAAAATAGAATCATGAACGACAATGTTAACTCAACCATAAAACGGTCGTAAGTATTGTTATAAAGGCCACGACAGAACTACTGCATATTTTTCCATTAATTAAGTTGGTGAAATTGGCTGTACTGTACATTCAAGTTTGAACACGCAAAACGATATATCTGTCAATGTCAGCATTGGTATCCCCTAAAATAGAATCATGAACGACAATGTTAACTGAACCATAAAACGGTCGTAAGTATTGTTGGCCACGATAGAACTACTGCATATTTTTCCATTAATAAAGTTGATGAAATTGGCTGTACTGTACATTCAAGTTTGAACATTCCTCTAAATATTCATGAAAGTTTCTCAGAGAATCGGATAAAGTAATATTTATATTAACTCCTAGTGAAGTGAATGATAGTACAGAATTAAATGTTTATATTTGTTAAAAAATAGGCGGAGGTGGCATAGGGATTGTGGTAGTGGTGATAGAAATATCAATTGGAGAACTGGGTGAAAATAAAATAAACATAGATATAAAACATAAGATAAAAAAAAACAAAATAAATATGATGAGTTCATTTCAAGCGTAGTTCTTTATTATTTTGTCTACCAGTAACTCTAGAACGGGTAAGGCGTTTGTTTAATCGTCATTATTTTCTTTGCTTATCTTTAATAATAGATTCATCATCCTAGACAAATAAAGAAATCAGGCAAAAAATATAAATAAACTATTGTTGAAATTAAACAAACATTAAAATATAGTAAAACCGGTAGATGGGTCAATATTAGATGCATATTTCTAGTAGTTGGAGGGCTATCATCAAAAAAATTTTTTGGGGGACTTATCAAGCCTATTATGATATATTCTAAAAGTTAAAAAATAACATGATGAATGTAATGTTATTAAGATTAAGGTTAATTAATTGAAAGGTAATTAAAAAATAAGATTAAAAAAGGGAGGAAAAAGAAGGTATAAATTATTATAATATAAAAATAATAAAAATTAAATTAAAGGAATTGATAAGGTTTTGAGAAATAGTGGTTAATAGATAATAGAAATAGAAAGAAAAGAATGAGATAATAAAATTTAGTGATAAATAAATTCATTAAGGGAGAAAAATAAAGAAAGAGTTATTTATAAGGATTGGAGATTATAAATAAGTTAGGATAAGAATATTTAAATATTTGAATATACTTGATTATCTTCTTAATCATTGGTTATGAAAGAAAAATATGAGTATAAAAAATTTTAATGTAAGTACTGACAAAAATTGTGAGTATATTCAAAATAAATATACAAGTTGAGTATCTTGTAGAGATTTCATTAATGTGTAATTGATAATATGAGTTGATAATTGATAAGGTAATCTAAAAAAAGAAAGGATTAAGTGAAATATTAGCCTGAATATTTTTTATTAACATCGTTTATTTCATTCATATTTAGAAAGTTGAAGGAATATTGTTTATATCAATTCAAAGACGATTTTTCAAATCTCTCAAACCATGTTAGGTATGTGTACACCATCAATTCTCTAAATTCCATTCATCTGTTTGTATAAAATAAATAAATAAACATACGATACATGACATACGATGACATGACGTAGCGATGACATGACGTAGCGATGACATGACGTAGCGATGACATGACGTAGCGATGACATGACGTAGCGATGACATGATGTCACGATGACGTAGTGAGGACATCGGCAAATTATAATATAGATATATTATTCTTTTTTAAAATTTGATAACTCTGAACGATTATTCTGAATTTCATATTTTGTCATTTATTATATTATGCATACAAAATAAACTAGCATGTAAATAATTAAAACAATACAGTCAAAACCGTTAAATTGCGAAATAATGGGACCAAAATATTTAAAAATTTCGCAATTATCCTTTTTTTCGCAATTATACGATTAATAATCAATAATTTATTTATTAAAAATCAGTTTGTATTTTTACAAATATTTATCATCTATATATATTTTAAGCATATAAACCATCAAATAAATACAATTTTTCTAACAACTCTATATTTATTGAATAAGAAAACGAAATAAAAAAAACAATTTTTAAAATTTATCTAGTATGTTAACATCTGTCATTGTTGCCCGCGTAATATTTACTATAACATTTTATCACATGACAATTCATATATTTAAATAGTTTTAAATAATATTATAACCAATAATTATATTTACAAATTTTATCAAGCAATCCAGAAAAATAATAATCTAAGCTAAGTAATTTACAAATTTATAAACTGACCAATGACATATAATAATACCTAGACTGACGATTCATTCATTAAAATGCATTTTTAAGCGTCGTTAAAAGCAAATCAGCTGGACCCGCCATTTTGGTAACCTTTATAATAATTATTTTCATGTTAAAAACTAATATTAAATTTAAAACTTACTTTCTTATTATCTCGATGATCAGGCAATTCTATAATAAAGTTTGCATCAGATATAATATAAAATTAGGCTCTCGTTTAAAATTTTAATATTTATTACAGTAACGATGGCGTTTCTAGCTGATTTGTATTGATGTACACTTTTAATGAATGAATTGTCAGTCTAGGTATTATTATATGTCATTGAAACTGACACGATGGCGATGCTAATTTTATTATTTTAATTTACATAACTTAATTTTAAATGTTAAATAATTAAAAAATTAATATTAATAAGCAGGCCAGGGTTGAAAATTTAACTTTATTCTATTTTAATTCACATTATATTTGATTTGAAATTCTAAGCCTATTCAAAAACGGTTTATCCATAAATAGCTTCTTTTTTTAAATTAAATTATAAGAACTCTAGATTCCCTTCATCATTACAGTACTTTATACCTTCTATATCAACTAATCTTTTTAAAATAAACTTATCTAATTTTAAATGGAAATGTATTAACATGCCATGCTGGAATGAAAGTTTATTAATGCTTTGTTTATATAATATTTTATTTGAACTTATTTTATTATACATACATATACATGCAACACAATTATAAAATAATGTAGGATTTATTAAAAATATTTTGTGATATGATGGCTAGACTCTGGATTAAATAATTCTTTTTCTTCTATATTTTCTTAGTGAATCTTGGTCCCTTATCATGAGCATATTCAAGAAGAAAAGTAATGTAACCATTAAGAGCCTGATTTTTTGTAATTAAATGATTTGATATCTCTAGATTCTCTTATGATTGGAATGATGTTTTACTCTAAAAATAATTTAGACATGATTATAATATATAATAAAATTACCATTTTTATATTAAAAAAAGTTAAAGGTGCAGTTCATGTAAAAAAAAATCACGAATAATTTATTTCGATAAAAAAATTTTATTTTTTCACTTATCCTATTAAATTAACGCTATTGTCATATAAATGGGACCTGTAATATTTCGCAATTAACCGATATTTGGCAATTAACCGATTCGCAATTATAAATGTAATTTAACATTATGCCATAGTAAT